GCTAATGGAAAACAAAACAGACTGAAGCACAAGGGTGTTCCTTAGAGACTGAAATCTCTAAGAAACTGAGGAAGAAGAAATATGTTTCTTATATTCGTTAGTCTCCAATAACCTCTGAACACCACATCACCATTTGTCACTCTTACATGAAATACCTTCACCAGAAACCAAGTCACTGAAGTGCAGACAGCCTGTGAACCCGAGTTTGAATCAAGGAAGAAAAAGCTGAGAAAAGAAGAAGACCAAGCTGCTGTACTTTTATCTCCTACGCTAAGTGTCACAAGAAGTTACAGGAACGAAAATCACTTTTCTCTTTCTACTTTGGTTGGAAGTAAAATATCCTGCATCTGACCCTTCTCTGAAGAGTGAAAGCACTGCTGGCCTCCAGAGGTGCGACCCTGATGTCTTCAATAATCCTCCCCAGCAGCAGGTAACAGAGGAAACGTTCTAAGTAATAACCTCAAAAAACTTCAAGTTGTCTTGAACACCTCCAGGATTATTTATAAGCAGCAGCCTGCAAATAGCAAAAAAGATTATATTTAAGATGACAGTGGCAATCGCTCACTGCTGTTACTGCTCTTAGGAACCTCTTGCCAAAAAGCCTTGTGGTAGCAACCTGCTCCCATCAGCTGTGGGCATAATGATCTCTCAGCACCGGCTGTTGAGAAGCTCCAGAGTATTTCCCTGCTGAGCTCTGAAGCAGCACAATAAGTTTCTGAGATTTAATATCCACACAGCACAAACGAAGCACAAACCTGAGCTAGCTGCTGCAGGCGTCTGCTGGGCTGCTGGAGGTGCAGCCTCCACCTCTTCCTCCTCCTCAGAAGTGCTGCTGTCGGAGTCACTTGACTGCAGTTCTGTGACCTGGGACGCGCCTTGCTGGCCGCCCCTCACAGTATGCGAGGGCTCCAGATGTGAACCTGGTATTGCAGCTGGCTCCTGCGTCCTGCTGATCTGAAAGTAACTGTCCAATGCTGCCCTGCAACCACAGGAGGAAGAAACAAAGGTCACAGTCCTTTCAGGTAAGCTGAAGACTTGGTACGCTGCCCCGGCTCACTCGCAGCAAATCTCACAGGCACTGCTGGCAGATAGGAGAGTATCACGTTTATTAAGACAGAAGTGGTCTGGTAAAGAGGCAATATCATACAATTGCCTGCTTTATGGACAGTCAGCAATGTCACACAGCAGCATCTTCACACAGCTTCACCTTGCCTGCTGAAGAAAACGTAGTTACTACGCGTGACTTTATTTTGGTGAAGGGCATCAGTGGGGCTGGAGAGAAAATAAGCAAAGACTTCAGTGCTACACACTGACAGCCTGTGGAACTCCTGCACTGTAACCGCAGTCACAGCACAGACCTGGTTTCCATCCCTCCAGAGAATATTAGATATTAGATACCTAATTTAGACACACGAGCCTTGTACCAGAGCCTCGTTCCACTGACTGCAGTGCTTAGTCTGCCCACCTTCCCCCTTTCCTGTTACAGGAGCTTTATCCCTGGAAAGCAACATCCTCCCTCTTCCCACATCAACCCAGCTATCATCTCAATTATCCTTCACATTCAAAGCAGTTTTTGCTAGGTTGCTTCTAGCCTGAAGAACTACAGTGACCTTCACAAACAATCCACGGGCAAACAGTGCAGCAATGTTTAATCACCAAGGAGAAGAGGAGATCTTGGTCTCGCTGAATTTTGAGGCAGCACTCCAGTTAATTATAACTTCACCCTTGGCATTTGCAAAAGCTACAAAGATGAGACAGAAGCCAAACAAACCAGAAATAAGGATTTCTTCCTAGTTGGGGAGCGTGCCCGCTCATCACCTTTTAAACTCATCGCTAACAGCCCTAAACATTGAATTTTACTTTGCTTGGAGATGACAAAAATCTACAGGGGAAAAAAAAAACAACAATGTCAGTTTGCATTTTTTACAACAGTTTCTGCAGCAATTGTCACCTAATTAGGCAGCCCTCAAATCAAAGGTGAAACACAGAAGAGAGCACAAGCTCCACTGAGCTAAATGCTGGCAGGGACTGCTGGGAGTCAGCTCTGCTGCAGGAAGCACCAGCAGGAACCTGGCAGAACAGAAGAATGGTAGGAGCAGCTCTGCACACTGGAAAGTGTAACAGTGCTCAAGTCAACAACACCACTGCCAGCAGAAGAACTGAGAAGGGCAGGTTCATTTAACAAACAGCAAAAGACATCACCAGATGAAATCAGGGAGCCATTAGAGCTTGAAAGGTTTGTGAGGTGCTCAGAATTTGGCCACAGTCACACACCTGGACAGAGCCGGGCTCTACAAGCCAGGAAGCGAGGCAGTTTTAAACCAACATCAGAGCTGGCAAGGGCACAGCTTAGACACAGCTTCACTCCTCTTTACCTGGCGCTGACTGTCCTCTGGGAGGCACTGGCTCTCGGCTGCCTGCGAGCGCTCCTTCGAACTCGCGGGCGCTGCATAACCTGCGGTCCAGGCAGCAGCTGGTGCTGCTCAGACGCCCCCTGCAGCCTCAGCAGCCCGATGAGAGCCGAGGGAGGATTCGCCTGCTGGTCAGGATCGGCAGCTGCTTCCCTTGGCGCATCAGCAGTCGATAGGGTAACGACTTCATCGACTTCATCGTCGGAAACAACGATAGTGCTGCCTCCTCCGCTGCTCAGCGCTGCAGCCTGGGAGGGCAGCGCCGTGTGAGCAGCGGGCCCTGCAGGAAGCACCCCCTGGCTCTCCAGGGAGTAGTTCACCACTGGTTGGAGATCAACTTCCATCTCTTCCTGAGCCATTTCTGTCAAAAGAAAAAGAAAGCCATGAGCATTCACAAGCCTGCTCCCTACTTGCGGCCTGATGGCAGCAAGAACTGGCTGCAGCACTCAGTGACCGCAACAGCCTTCAGAATTCAGACTAAAGAGACAAGCTGTCATTTTGCCTTTGACATACAGCAGAGATAGACTGTCTCAAGTAGATCCACATATGTGAGCTGGCACCTTCCTGAGTCCTTCATCTGAAGCCTTTAGCTCAGCAGCAGTTAGCACCAAAGGCACATCGCAAATCCTGTTAGGTAAATCTTCAGATGAGCATGGAAAGCTCAGGACTTCTTGTACTATTACTTCCCAGTAAACGCATTAGGATCTCAGAGGAAAGAGTTTGAGATCCTCCATGGCAAAACCGCTGCAGAAACACTGACAAACACAGCCAGAAATGAGCTCTGCAGAGTACCCAATCCTTTGCAGTCTTACCACGTAGAAAAGCTCAGATAATTTCTTGAACTGAACAAATAAAAGCAAATCATTTTGGGGAGGAGAGAGTAGATTAAGTTCTGCAGTCTCCCAATGGTCATTTGCCTCCCATGTGTTTTGGCAATCGCAAATCTGGAAGGCCTTGGGGATAGCAGATCTTTAGCACTACTTGAGAGCCCAAAGTACACAACAAGACTTCTCAAGACAGATACCGTGCAAACAGAGAAGAGTGCTTTCAGTAGAAAGAATAACTAGAGAATGTATACAAGATCTACAAGAGGTGGTTACGCCAACATATTTTGATAAATCTTTTAACAAACTCTTATTAATCAGTTTATAACACTACTCTAATTACCCTCAGAATCACTAAAGTTGGAAGAGACCTTTCAGACTCCCAAGTCCCCCACCATGCCCACGTCCCTCAGTGCCACGTCCCTATGGCACTGGGACACCTCCAAGGACAGCGATTCCCCCCCCCCTCACTGGGCAGCTGTGCCACTGCATCACTGCTCCTTGGGAGAAGAGGTTTTCCCTGATAACCAATATTTCAGCCTAAATCAAGGCAGAAAGGAGACCAAGCCCCATCTCTCACCTGACCAGGCACAGATACAGTTACAGCAGTCCTGCTTCCCTTCCACTGAACTCAGATTTGTGTTAAGACTGCCCCCTGCAAACCCTTATTTTCTCACGGTGGAAGCCCTAAAACCGCACAGGGTTAGCTAGCCCGAAACGTTTCTTAGGAAAGACGTTAACGTTGGCATTTTCACCGTGACACTTTGGTGCCCTCCAGGAAGGTCAGCGCCTCCCCGCCAGAGCCGCCCGTGCTTACGGGCGGAAGGCGGCCGTGCAGAAGCTCCTCAGGCGCAGGTCAGAGGGCTCGGGGCAGCACCACCGCTGGAGCAGCAGCTTCCCCTGGCGGACGGTCGGGTCTCCGAGAGCGCAGCTCTGCTCCTCCATCCGCCTGCCGCACCTTCGAGACAGGGGGACCAACAACGCAAATAAATCATCCGTACGTGGCAAAACCAGCAGCGTGCAGCGCGAACGGAGCCGCGTTTGGGGTTCGCTGAGGGTTTTCTCCCCACGGGATCCGGCACTGTGCCGAGCAGGGCCCTCCTGTCACAGCCCAGCCCCGGGCACCGTCCCGCGCTCCACCCGCTGCCTCGGGGCCCGCCGCCCCCCCGGCCTCCCCTCACGCTCAGCTCTGCCGAACCACTCAAAGGAAGGGAGAAGGGAGAAGCGAGAACCGACCAGCCCCGGCTAGGCCCACCTCACGGCGACCCCCCCCGGCTGCCTGCTGCCCGCCCGCGCCGCTCGAGCTGCGCGCCGCCCCACCCCCTCAGCCCTATTGGCCTGACGCTCCCCCTGCCGCCGCCTCTATTGGGCGAGCCGAAAGCTGTGAGGATTTTTATTGGTCGAGCGCTCTGTCAGTCTGCCTCAGTGAACGGACTGTGGAGGAGGAGAGGCGAGAGCAGTGAGGCGCGCTCTGATTGGTCGGTCGAGGTAGAGCTGCCCGGCTGATTGGGCGGTGAGATCCTCGACGGACGGAAAGGGCGGGGCAAGAGACAGGAAGTGCGTTTTGATTGGTGGAGGCGCCGCCGGGACGAAATAAGCGGGAGCGGGAGGGGATTCAAATCGAGGCTGGGGGGGGGGGGGGGGGGTTTGAAAGGAAGGAAGGTTGCCATGACAGCGGGGCACAGCGGGCCTCGAAGAACGCAAACCAGCCGGCACTCAGATTTTCCAGTCTTATTTAATAAATAAACATATATTGACACTTCGATGATTGCAGTCGCAGGGATGGTAGGCAGGGAGGCCAGTCTGGGCAGCCTGCTGGGGCTCTCCGCAGCTAGCTGCCCTGGCTCCTCCTTTTCTCCAGGTCAGCCAACAAGTCCACGATCTCTGTGGAACACGAGGCCAGCGTTAGCACAAACAAAGTGCTTTTGGTGCCTGCAAACCTGTGGTTTACCCAGCCAGGCCTGCACCGACCCCAGTGATGGAGAACCTTCCCCATTTACCCGAGTTTGCAATTAATTGCTCTTGTGCCATGCCAAAAGAGCGGGCCTGGCTGTGTGTGGTGTGGATAAATCCTGCTGTGTGAACAGGGTGTATGAGGAGACCGTAAGCAGGAAGGGCTACAAAAGGAAACCTGCTCTTGGGAGACCTGGTGGCGTCAGCAGGACGAGGGGTGATCCCAAAAGACAAAACTGGGCAAAACCCGATGGAAAACAAGGGGCAGATTCGGCACTGAGGCGGCTGACTGACTGAGGGACCCGTGGGGCACGTGTCCAGGACACTCACGCTCAGCAGATGGGCGCTGGAATGGATCGAAGGCCCGACACTGGTTGATGACTTTCTCCAGCTCTTCTGGACAATCTTCTCCCACTGGCTCCTGGTACTGGTGGTCACAGATTTTGTCTCTGATCTCCTGGAGAGAGCAGCCTAAGTGAAACAAGGACATCAGGAGGCGTGGAGGCTTACCAAAGCCATCCTGCAGCCTCCTCCATGGAGAAGCTGGCAGAGGGGGCACCCAAACTGTGTCAGCAATGAGCTGCCCCCATCTTTGCCGTGACACCGCTGAGCCCCACTGAAACAGGATGTCTTAATGCTTCAATGCATAGAAACAACAAACAGAGACAGCGTTTCTTGCATTCTTGTGGTTTAACCATGTGCAGAAGCCGTGAAGACGTTATACAGACCCAAGCACTGGGACCCACGTACTATGGGATGCTCCAGCAGCTGAGCTTTTACACAGGGCCATAGACAACTTCTGACTCACCTTCAAATGGGATTTTGGAGGTTGCAATCTCCCACAGCACGACCCCGAAGCTGGAAAAAGACAAGCAAGAGTTTCTCAGCGTTCATCCTACCACGTCATCCTCCTTTCTGACGGAGAGGGCTGGGGGCTACGCCTCATAATAATGTTTGATTAAACCTGGCCTCCATCCACAGCTTGACAGCTTGACATCTGCCCACTGGCATCGCACCCGGGAGGGCTTGTGGGGCAGACATACCTGTATATCTCACAGGACCTCTTGTAGGGGCAATAGACATCCATCAGGTTCTCGGGGGCAATGTAAGCCAACATACAGACTTGGTTCAAGTTCTTCTTATTGACTTTTCTCTTGATGGAAGACTCTGTTTCACACAGCTCGAATCCTGACAGCTGTTTGCAAAAGTTAGATTGAGAAAGGGGGAGGCGTTAGAAATGTAAAGTTGGTCACCGGTTCTCAGCTCAACTTTTGTGGCCACATTTCTTCTTCCTTTTCTAACGTGCACGGTTGGCAGCTAAATGCAACCTCGCCACCCCCCCGCTCCTACCTCTAGAGCTTCTCCAGGCATGGTCCTTACCTTCACACAGTAATCCCCAGCCACCAGGAACTTGCTGCTGCAGATGCAGCCGTGCAGTCGGGACTTCTCCTCCGTCTGGTGCAACCTGCAGCCAGCCAGAAACAAGAGCAGTGTGTGCTGTGTTGAGCCAACCTCTGCCTTGGGGTGCAGCAACGCGTGCAGGTGGCTCCCCGGACGGCCTGCCACCGATTTGGAGCTCACCTGTAAAGGCCCCTGGCAGCTCCCAGGGCCATCCGAATGCGGACTTCCCAGGAGAGATGCTGTTGCTTGGTCAGCACCTCCCGCAGCGTGCCGTGCTTGCAGTACTCCATGACGATGGAGAAGCAGGGGATCCCATCTGATGCAGAAAAATGCATGCTGAGGGGGCAGCTGGCCCCAGGACAGCCACAGACCACCTCATGTCAGGAGAGCTCCCAGGCACAAACCACGGTAAGCCAGTGCAGGTTCTGCTGGGTAGAACTGGCTGGATGTCTCTGTTTTTGGGGGATCTGAATAATGCTTTAGTTCTTTACAGCAGAGACCTGCCTCATCCCTGCAAGAGCCTCAGCAGAGATGGGGGAAGCAGCCTCTCAGGCATGCCCCTTTGTGTCACCTCAAGCTGTCTGCCACCAGCTAGCACTAGGGACAGGCAGGGAAGCAAGAGGAAGCCCTAAATGGCACACCCCGTACCTTTCTCCTCAATGCAGATCCCATACATGCGCAGAATGTTTGGAGACTCAAACTTCTTCAGGGTCTGAATCTCCTTCTCAAAGATGTCTCTCACCTTCCTACAGAAAGGAACAGCACAGTGAGGTCGTGGAGTCATAGAAAGGTTTGAGTGGGAAGGGACCCTAAAGGCCGTCTGTTCCCAGCCCTGCACTGAGCAGGGACACGCACAGCTCCATCAGCGCTCAGCTCCCTGACCTTGGCTGTGTGCAGGGATGGGTGCAGCTCTGTGTGCAGCCTGTGCCCCACTGCCCTGAGCGCGAACGATTTCTTCCTTAGCTCCAGTCCAAACCTCCCCTTTTGGTTTGAACCGTTTCCCCCTGTCCTATCACAACAGACCCCACTAAAGAATCTTCTTTCTTCCAGCCCCTTTAGATTCTGAAAGGTCCCCAGGGCAAGATACGTTGTGCCATTCTCCCAACCGCACTGCCCTGCGCTGCTCCAACTCACACTGTGTCGGTGGTCAGCGGCCTCTTGAAGGTTTTGATGGCGACTGGGTACTTGAGATACTCTCCCTCATAGAGGTCGTAGCGCTCAGTGTCCTGCAGGTGCCTGCGGAAGGTGAGCTGGTCCCGCTCGATCTCAGTGATGGCTTCCCTTTTGCCAACATTGACCTTCTTCAAGCCTGCTCACGCCGCACCAGGAGGAATGAGGCACAAATCAGGCAGGGCCGGGGGAAAGCCAGCGACTCTGTGGCTTAGCAAAGCCTTTTACAGGAGCGTTTGTCCTTTCTAAAAGGGACATGGAGGGCAGATCTCTTTGTGACTCCAACTTACTGTCCATCACACGCACGATTTTGTTCAGCTCGCCTTGCATCCAGTCCACCTTGCTCTCCATGCACTGACTGCCCATGTGCATCTCCCAGGCCTCATCTTCAGGCTCTTTGGTACCTGGGGTAAGACAGATAGGCGCAGAGATGGGCTGGGTGAAGTGCAGCACTGGCACTGGCAGTTTTTCTGGTCCCTTTGGCTTTCCCCAGCCATTGCCATCAGGCTGAAGCTGGGCTGGGGTGGGCTGCCAGCTCCCAGCCAACCTCCGGTCTTGGGGAAGGGACACACTAAATGCACACTTACTTGCAATAACCTGGTCCAGGAAAGCCTTGTCATCCCTCAGATCCTCAGCATCTTGCCTGCGACAGATCTTTGTCTGGAAGGCCTCCAGCAACGCCTGCTTCTGCTCTGCTTGTAGCAGCAGCGAGAGCCCTTGGGCGATGTCCTCCAGGCTCCTGTTCACCCAAACAAACTCCTCTCCGCTGCTGCGGGCACTCAGGAACTTTTGGATCCAGCTGGTCTGGCTGTATTTTATCACCAGCTTCTGGGCTTCCCCCAGCACCTGGAGCAGCTTGGTCAGCATTTGCTCTTCGTGGTGGGAGATCTGCCAAGATGGCTGAGCCTGCAGGACCCGCACGGGCCCCAGCAGGATGTGGATGCGCTCCACGAGGCGCTGGCACTGGTGCTTGCAGCACCTGACGTGCTCAAACTGGCTGTGGATGGCATGGGCGATGGAGAAGACCTTCTCTATGATGTCCATGCTTTCAGCCAAGGGCTTGGCTGATGGGGACGTGGGGCAGCGGCGTCTGCTGGAGGTGACCCTTGGGCAGTGCTCACAGGTACAGCGTGGATCTTCCTCACCTTAGCTGTCAAGGAACAGCCTTAACATGGCACAACACCCCACAGCCCTCACCTCCCCAACGGCTGCTCTGGCATTTGTGTAGGTTGGAGTGGACACGTGTGAACAAAGGCACTGGTAGCGGTGGTACCGTTACACCAACCATCACAGAGTATCCCAAGATGGGAGGACTGAAGGGTCCAACTGCTGGGGCATTTTGGCTTGTTTCATGTGAATTAAAGCAGGAGCAGCCAGAGCAGGATCCGCGATCTCCCAGTAGCATCCCCCAGCTGTGCTCCCCAGCATTACCACCCAGATAACAGTTTTTTCCTACGTTTAGGCAGCCCCAACTTCATGTTATCTCCTCTCCCCCCAGGGAACCTTTGCTAAATGAAAGCAAAGAGTGCAGCTTACCCAGCCCCGTTCTGCTCACCTCCTCCTCGGCCGTCTCTCAGACTGGAGAGAAACCAGGGACGCAGGGGTTTATAGGGTGCTTTCCCAGCAGCGGAAGCTGCATTGTGCAATGTGGAACCACCGTCACAGGAAAGCGGCTCCAGCTGACGGAGGATGGTGCAGAGGCACACAGTGCCCCTCCATGCAGGATTGGGGTGCTGGAAGGAGGAACCCCCCACAGGAGGCACTTTGGGAAAGCAGGGTAGGGAGGTGTCTGTGCCCCCTGCGTCGATGCTGCCGTTCCAACCCTTTTTGCCACACGGCTTTCCCAGGGCTTGGTACCAAAAATCCCAGCCCTGCAGGGGGGCTGTGTGGCAGGGAGCAGCAGCCCCCAGCCCCAATTCCAGCCCGACCACGCAGCCCTCCCCTCTCTCAGCCCATCCATCGTCAGAGGAAGCGGGTTACAGGTGAGGAAAGCAATGCCTGCCCCTACCGGGAGGGCAGGAAGCTTCGCAGGCCAATTTTCGGAAGCTCGGGGCCGCATGTGACACCCATTGCCCAACTTCGGGGAAGTGGCCCCAGGGCCTTTCCAGTGACAGAGGGCTGGCTGTCACACAGCTGATGGGAAGCATCTCCCTCTCTGCCACAGCTCTGCTTTTCTCAGTGGCCCCAGCCAGCACTGGGAGGTGGGAAAGGTGATGGCAAGGGACGGTGACCTCGAGAGCCCCCCCAGAGCCAGGCCCTCGGGGAACAATTGGAATGGATCATCTTTTAGGTCTTTTCCAACCTTGGTGATTCTATGATTCCATGAAAGGTTTTATTTTTCAAAATATACAGTTTATTTACAATTGCCATGTCTACAGTCGTACGTAATAGCTTCATTCCAAACCTTTAAATATCTGCAGTAAACATTAGAAAAAAAAAAATAATAATAATAATCACAGGATCAGCCCAAAAAAACAAACCAAAAAAAAGGCATCTTTTAGCAATTCCATTCATTGGAGTTTAAGTTTCAAGTAGCTGAGGACCACACGAATGCAAAGTCAAACAGACCTGGCAGGGAGATGGGAGCGCTGGTTAGAGAAAGGCCAAGGCCAGCCCTGCCAGACGCCCGCCTGGCACCGCAGGGCAGGGGAAGCCCGCTGCACGGGCAGGCAGCGCGGGTTTGGTTTGATTTCCCTCGGTTATTTTGCCTCCCCCCTCCCCACAGGCAACCCGAGAGGTTGGAGCCCCCGGGTGGGAGTTGGGCGCAGTGCAGCGGGCGGCTCAGGGAGGCACTGAGAGGCGGGGGTGCGGGGTGTAGCAGGAGGGGCTCGAGGCAGCCGGCACTTCATCCTCCAGGCACAGAGGTGCCCGCTCATCAGTGCCTTCAATGGGAAGAGCTGGAGCCCCAGCAGCCTCCTCCGGCCCCCTCCCCACCTCCATACCCCCCGGCTCCACCGGCAGCACCGAGGGGATGGAGCGGCCCCACGACGGGCGACGGAGAGGGACAAGGGGGACGGTGCCGATCCTCGGCAGCACAGTGTTCTGAGCCCTCACGGCCCTGAGCACGGTCGGCTGAGCGCCGGGGCCATCAGTCCTCTTTCTCAAAGGTCTCTTCGGGGATGAGCGTCCGGAAGGGGTGATCCCAGAAGCGGGTGGTGATGCCGAAGCCTGCAGGGGAGGCGAGAGAGCGCTCAGCGCGCGGCACCGCTGGACGGCGCTAAGCAGGGCTGCGCCACCGGGACAGAGGGAGCCGGGGCAGGGAGCCGTTACAGCCCGAGCCCCGCAGGGCCCCACCGCGTGGCCGGGACGCAAATGTCACCCGGCTCGGTGATGACACCAGAGCGGGGCGGTCCTTTACGGGATTGACGGCGCGTCACCCGGCCCCAGGGCAACAAGCAAGGGCGAGGAGGAAGAGCAGAGGGAACAACGAGAGGAGCCGGCTGGGATGATAGCTTATCTGGACGGGGTGCTTTCTCCTTGGAAACCGGGCAAAGGGCAGGTTGAGCAAGGGGAAGGTGTGGGGCAGAGCAAGGGAAGCCTCACCCTGCACCTGCCAATGGTGCCACGAGGAGGGCTGGGCACGGTGTGCCATTGCCTGATGGCAAGATGGGCATGGAGCAGGGCTCCCACAGAGGGGCACTTTGTCACAGGCACCCCCACGCCGTGCCGAACCCAACGGAGCGTTCCCAACCTCTGTGCCCATTCCCAAGCCAGAAAGGCACAGCACAGCACAGCAACGTGGCGCTACCTGACTTCTGGTGCTCAAAGTGGTGCTTGACGTGGTACGCCTTCAGCCCGTACAGGTAGGTGCCTTCCTTCGGCGAGCCATAGTGCAGGTAGTAGTGCATCATGTCGTACACCACGTAGCCACACAGCCCTCCCACAAACACAGACAGCCCCAGCACCTCGGGCAGCAGCAGCCGCAGCACGCCGTAGAAGAAGGCCATGACCAGCGAGGCCGGCACCGGGGGGAAGACCAGGCGGGAGCTGTCAAAGGGGGACTGGAAGCGGAGAGAGACGGTGGGATGGCGAGCTCCTCGCTCACCCCAAAGCCTCCCTGAGAGCTGGAAGCATCCATCCCACAAGCAGCGCCGTCCCCACACGTGGCGAAGCCGCCCCCAGGAACCCTCCCACCCTAAATGCATCCTAAGCAAGGCACCATCTCCAAGGGGGCAGACGTAGCCCCCAGTGAAGCTAGAGGGAGCCCGCTGCTTTCCAAGTCTTGCAAGCCGGGCTCGTGGTTTAACTCAGCTGCTCCAAGCTCATCCTCTGGCATTAGCAAAGGCCAAGGGCACCCCGAGAGGAGCAGAAGCTCTGCCGCTCACCTTGTGGTGCTGCCCGTGCAGCAGGAAATGCAGGGTGATGAGATAGTAGTTACTAGCGGGTGGCTTCATGTGGAAGACAAAGCGATGGATGAGGTACTCTAGCAGGGACCACAGGAACATCCCCAGGAGGAAGATGAAGGGGAAGCAGTGTTTGTGCACGGGGATGGAGTACTCTACACAATGAGACATGCAGCAGTCAGCGAGGCGGGTGGATTCGCATGCTTCTATCCATGGCCATCCTGATGCCAGCAGCCTGGTGAAGCTCGCCTCTCCCCCCACTTGTTTGGTTCCCCTCAATTTGTGCTCTTTGGGGTAGGAGCCGATGCCAGCTGGGACTGCAAGCATGTCCTTACAGAGCAGCTTTCCCCACCCAAACAGGCAGCACGACCCGACGGACACAGGCAGCGCTTGTGACAGTGGAACAGAGCCGCTGCTGTGTTTTTGTTTGGCAGAGAATACAGCTGTCGGGCACTTTCCCCCGCAGAGCATTTTTCCACCACCTCCTCCTTTTGCTGCCAGCAAACCCTGCGTCCTCCCTCGCAAAATTCACCCCGTGCTCACTGGCAAAATTCCCCCAGATCCAAGCACTGTGTGGCAATGGGAAGAAAACCCCCTGTGGGCAGCGAGACGCCCGGTGCGCAGCCCATCACCCTGCACGGGGAGGCAGGAAGCACAGCTGGGAACGCAAAAAGGGATGGAAAGAGAATGGGGAGGAACAAAAGGATGCGTGACGGATTTATTCCAGCCCAGGACAGAGGCAGGGAAGCCAGAACATCAAAACCTGCTCTGATTTTGGGCACCGAGCGAGGCAGCTGGCACAGGGTGGCACCCGCAGCGGGGCCAACAACAAAGCTGTCACCCAGCTGCCCACTGCCCGCTGCCGGGGCTGCACACAGTGGTGGATTCAGGGGGAGGTGCTGGTTGAACAAGCTGTGCTCTGTGCGAGGCCAGTGGTGTGAGAGCCGTGTTTGTTCACCCAGCCCCAGCGTCAGGGCAGTGGGTGGCGGCGCAGGGGGACACGGCCATCGGTGAGCAGCGGGGCTTCATTTTGAGTATGGAGGAAGGGAGGCAGCTCGGGGCTGTGCCTGCTGCCCTGGGCAGCCCGCTCTGCGCCCACCGCTCTCTGGGGCGGCAGCTCCCTCTAGGAACAAACCTCAAACAGACAGGCAGGGGAGCAAGGCGAGCTCAGCCAGCACGGGTGGCTGCGTGCAGGGCAGTGCTGGGGGCTGCGGGGACTGGGGACGGACTGCGCTCATGCAGGCGTGCGCTGAAGGCCGGGGACGGGTCGTACCTGCGGTGAAGGAGGAGAAGAGCCTGGTGTTGCCCTGCGCCAGAGCTGTGTAGCTGAGCCAGCTGAGGTAGAACACCACCGGGGTCCACACCAGGAACACCACGTACCTATGGGGAGAGGGGATGGGTCAGGGGGGCGGACCCATGTATCTGCACACCTCCACCCTCCCTCCGCCACCCCAGGATGCTCACCACGCCGTCTTGGAGAGGGCCTCAATAAAATCCGAGTGGAAGAGGCGGATGGGCCGATCCACGGGCTGGTGCACCCACTCATCATACTTCTCCCCCAGGTAGCCCACCTGCCACAGCAAGGGCTTCCGCCAGTCCACCAGGTCCTGGGGGCACAGGGCTGTTGGTTAGCTCCCTCCCTCGTCCCCTTCCCGATAGTACCCACAATCTGGGGGGACTCATGGAATCATTAAGGCTGGGAAAGGCCTCAGATCCCCAGGTCCAACCCTGCTCCACCCCGCCGTGCCCACATCCCTCAGTGCCACATCCCCGTGGCTCTGGGGCACCTCCAGGGACAGTGACTCCCATCCTTTGGCAGCTGTGCCGCTGCCTGTGGAGTCTGGATAGGGATGGATGTGGTCACCCACCAGGGCAATGACCCCAGGATGTGTGGGAATGGATGTAGATGCTCCACACCAGCAGAACTTCCGAGCAAAATCTCATTTTGGGACACATGCAAAGGAAAACATTCTCTTTTAAAGGCAATCGGTGGCAAAATATTCATAGTGAACAAAGGGTTTCCTGTTGGTCAAATAAAGATAAAGGCTGGTGCTCCCCAAAGAGCGCTTGGCACAGCAGCCACGCGGTGCAACGAGAGGCATCCAAAGGCACCTTGGGGACAGGGAGAAACCCTGGGACACCGAGCTCTCAGTCTGCCCAGCCAGGACATCCCTTATATGTCAGCAAAAAGGGAAAAACAAATGATAAATGAATAGAAATAATAATAATAACAAAAAAGCAAACAGTGCGAGGCGTGGTGTAGCAGCACGTCCTGCTTCTACAGGCAAAGCTGCTGTCAAAGAAAGGCACCGGCGCCCACAGAGGAGCCTTCCAGAGTGGCTGCTCCTGGGCCATAAAGGCAGCGCTGTGTGCAGGGCAAAGGGCAGAGTACGGCCTCACCGTGCCCACGTCCACCGGCTTGCAGCGGGGATCCAGCCGTGGGGCTGCAGCGTCCAGTGGCTTCTCGGCCTTGGGGCAGCTCTGCAATGAGAAAGCGATGGTTTGGGGGTGCTGGGGAAGCTCAGGGTCGCCGCAGTCGATAGAGACCACCACCACATCTCGTCCAACTGCCCGCCTGCCGCAGCACTGCATGCTCACCACGTCCCCATGAACCACATCCATGTGTTTCTGCAATGCGCGCACACACACCAGGCTGCTGTTACGGCTGGAGGGCACTGCGGTGTTTGGGACATCGAGGCACACGAGGGCCGGGGACACAAGGACGGAGAAAAAGGGGGAATCCCCCCCACGTGGCTTTGCCCACCACCGTGGTGGCACCTCCATCCCTCCGTGCTTCTGGGTGCCGACGCACCTTTCCCCTGCCTCGTCACCTCGGTTACCCATTAACCAGCCATAGGTTTTCCCCAGATGGTTGGGACACGTGGGACGGTCCCCACACAGGGACACGAGTGGAGGTGACACGGCCCCAGCGGTGCCTCGGCGGGCAGCCAGGGCTTTATGGAGCCCTCGTGATGCTGACGCGGGGCCGTTGACCGACCCACTGCCAGTGGGACAAGGTGACACCCGGGCCGGGCAGCAGAACCGAGCGGGAAGACCTTCAGCTTTAGGCGTCTTGAGTCTTCCCGCTTGGTTCTGCCGGACGGAGACCCGGAGAGTTTCAGCCGAAGGGGAGGCGGCGGCGGGGCTGCGCCGTGGGCGACGCTGCTGCTGCCTCTGACGCGGCGCAGGGCGAACAGGTCCTGCCGGAGCCGTGATGTAAGGCAGGGAAAGTCGCGCCCGCCTACGGAGCGCCGCCGCCCTGCACCTCGCCCCGACCGCGGGCGGCCCTGCTGGGAAGCGAAGGAAGGTTGCGCTGCGTTTCCACCGCGCGGCACCCAGCGATGCTCCCGTGCCCGCGACCCCTGTCGGCCTTATGGGGCGCGGACACCCCAAGCTCACCCCACGGTGCCCGCGTCACCATCCCGCCTTCAGGCCGTGAATCACAGGGCGGTGAGATGCGGATGCGAGGTGACACGGCCCATAAAACGCGGGTTTAAAAAAAAAAAAAAAAAAGATAATAATAAAAAGCAGGGCCCTTTTTATTACAACACCTCCCAGCAGGTGAGCGCCTACGTACGCTGAGCTCACACGGCGCCGGGAGATGCGCGGTGACTCACGGCAGCGTCGCGCAGCCCCGCGGAGCTCTGATGAAAGCCCCATTGCTCAAATTGCCGGCTAATTATACGATCCGGTTCCCCCCCAGCGAAGCTGCTGAACCCCGCCGTCTCGCGGAGCTAATTGCCGTTCCTCGCTTTCATCTGTGCTGCGCTCCGTGCGCGCACTTCGGCCACGGAAATGGGGACGGGTGATTCAGCCCCCGATAGCCGCCCACCCGCCGGGGGCTGCCCCGGACCCACACGCTCCATAATTAAGCCGGGCTCTCGTTTAATAAACTCGCATTCCTATGGGACGTCCTGCGGCACAGCACCTCCTCCAAATCCACACCGGGGCCGCGTCCGCTCCAAACCAACCCTGAGCATCGCCAAGGGCGCACGCCGGCCCCAGCAGGGCTGCTCTCACCCCGGTGCCACCGCCATCCAGGACGCGTTATCCGGTGCCAGGCAGCGCGCGATCCCCTCGCCTGGTGTTATCGCACCGGTATTTGCCTTCGCGCAGCGGCACAGAACCCGTTTGGTCGGTACCGGCGCTCGGCCGAACCTGTCGGGCTTGTTGTGGAGGCCGCGTCCCAACAAAGGCGCTGCCATCGCCGGGCTTTGGGGCTGCAAGAGCCGAACAAAGCTGTGTCTGTGCGGGGCCGGAGAGCAAACAGCGCCGGGAAGCACCGCCGGTCATCGACCCCGCGGCACTGGGCGTTCAGTCAACGCACACCGCTGCAGCAGCAGCGCTCCTACAGCCCACAGCCCGCCCCACACACCCCAACAGCCCGGCTGCGGTGCTGGCACCCCACCCCCCGCTCGCCGTCCGCCGCCCCCCCCCCCCCCCCCCCCGGAGCCTGGGTGTGCCCCAGACCTTTGCACCACAGGTGCTGGGCGCTCCACACGCACCCTGCATCACGTCCCAAGCCTTCGTGGCCCTGAGCGCCACACGCAGCTCAGCCCCATAGACAGGGACACGGGGCGCCCCATAGACGCCGCACAGCTCTCGAGGTGCCCTGCAGATGCTGCACAGCTCATTTCACCCCGGACACCTGCAGGCACCGTGCAGCTCCATCCCACGCTCACGGGACCCAGCTGCCCCACAGACCCCATGCTGCCCACTCCAACCCTGGGGCACCCTATAGGCCCATTGCACATCAGCTCGCTCACCCAGCACACCCTATGGATCCCATTCTCCCCGACTCTTGAGGCAACCTACAGACCCCGTATCTCCTATGCCACCCTCATGACACCCTACAACCCCTTTAGTGTCAAACCCAACTCTGGGTCACCTTATGGATCCCCACCCCCCCTTAGAACTCACTACAGACCCCGTACCCCTCATCCCACCCGGCACACCCTACTGACCCCAGACTTCCCAAACATTCCCAGCACACCCTAGTGGATCCTATACTTCCTACCCAACTTCCACACTACCCTACAGACACCACGGCGTCCATCCCAACCCTGGGGCACCCTGCAGACTCCATACATCCCAACTCACACCCAGCACATCCTACAGACCCTAAACTTCCTACCCTGCTTCCGGGGCACCACATGGACCCCACAGCACTGAGCCCAGCTCCAAGGCACCCTACAGACCCCACACCGCTCCCCCCCCCCCCCGGACCTCCCCCACCCCCCGCCCCGCTCCCACCATACCCCGCACACCCCACACCTCCAACGCTGCTCCCAACGCACCCTCCAAACCCCGCACCCCTCCGGCCCAACTCCGGCACGCCCAACGGACTCCGCACCCCCACCCCGCTCCCGTTGCACCGGACGGCTCCCGCAGCCCGCAGCCCGCTACCTGCTCGTCCCGCAGCTCGCCCACGTAGTACTGCTCGAGCCAGCGCCGGGCGTTGGCCGAGTGCCGGTGCGGGGGCCCGTCTAACGCGGTGCTCACGTCGGTGCCCGCTCGGCTCCGCAGCAGCCGCTCGCCGCCGGGATGCAGCCGCACGAAGGCGCTCAGGTCGTACAGACGGCGGCGGCACCGCACCAGGCACTCGCCCCGCGCGCAGCGATCCCGCACCTCCGCGGCGCTGAAGGAGCGCGGCGCCGCCATGGCCCCCGCCCGGCCCCGGCCCCGGCCCCGCCGCGCTCTGCCGCCACCTGCGCGCCCGCGCCGCTCATTAGGCGGGGAGGCCACGCCCCTCCCGCGCGCCCATTGGGTGGGGGGTGGAAAACGGGGAGGGGCTTGCGGAGGGTGGCCCCGCCCACCCGGCAGGTGCGGGGTTGCAGAACGGAGGGCTGGGGGAGCGGGGGGCGATGCGGCGCCTCTGAGAAATGGGGGCTATGGGGTGAGCGGCACCCTGCGCCAGTCTGGAAGACTTCAGAGAGCGGTGAGGCACTGGAACAGGCTGCCCAAGGAGGCTGTGGATGCAGGGATCCAAGGCCAGGCTGGATGTGGCTCTGGGCAGCCTGGGCTGCTGGTTGGCGACCTGCACACAGCAGGGGGTTGAAGCTGGATGAGCGCTGTGCTCCTTTGCAACCCAGGCCATGCTGTGATCCTATGATTCTAAGGAATGGCAGAAATGTGGGGCGCAGCAGTGACGGTGGGACCCCCTGGGGCAATGGAGGTGCGGGTGTGCCTGAGAGAGAGGACGGGGTGATGCTGGGGGCACCACGGCTGTGGGCACCCTGGTCCTGCTCCCCTGACCCCTGGCTCTTTGCAGATTTGTCACCGATGCAACGAGCCGGATGGGCCCCCAGCTGGGAGGGCAGGATGGAGTCCCCCCCCAAGAATCCCTCCAGGAGTGGAGGTTAAGGGGGATAAATAAAGCGCTGCTGACAGCCCTGCTTCTCCTCCCCATTATCCCCCAACCCCTCCCCCCCGCTGTGGCTTCTGCCCCCGTGGGTGTGAGGCTGCCTCAGGGGACGCCCCCACGCCGCAGCCCAGCCCAGCCATGGGTGCTCCCTGCCCAGGAACGCGGCCCCCCCTGCCCTGCAGCACCCCAGGCCCGGCTGCTGAGCGAAGCCTTTAATCGGGGCAGACTCCAAAGCGCCCGTGCCCCCGCGTGACATCTTTGCCCAGCGGCAGCTCGAGGCCCACCGTCCTCATTTCGGGGTCCCCGAGCCCTAGGGCGAGGCAGGGGGTTTCCACTCGGGGATGGGGGCGGAGGTGGATCCGGACAACCCCCATCCCGAGGGCGCGTCTGGGGCGCAGCACCCAATGCAAGGAGCACCCTGCGCCCCTGGAGCCACGGGGACGGGCAGCGCCCTGCAATGCAGGCGGAGGGACTCCAGCCACCAGCGCGCCCTCGGGCGCTGCCGACACCCGCTGCTCCCAGACCGGTTCACCTGCCCACCGGATGCAGGAATGCGGCCACGGCGTTTGCGGGGACGAAGCCCTGCAGCCCTGACGCCGGGTTCATGGGGACTTGGCTGCACAGGAAGCAGCCCGTGCAGATGCGGGGTCCCTCGGCAGCTCCCTGCTCCGTCCGGTGGGAATCAGCCCTTCCTGCCTCCTCGCAGTCACCGCGCATTGAGCAAGAGCGTTCCCAAGGCCGGCGCTGCGCTCGCTGCAGGGTGTGAGAGCGTCCGGGAAGAAGTTCCTCCTCCCTCGGCAGGGTTGCACAAACACCCGGAGCTTTTCCACCGCGCTCTGAAGCATCAGCCGCCCTCCAGCTGCAAGGCATTCAGATACTATGGAGATAGCCTGTAATGATCTGTAATAACGTGCAAATGCCACAATCTGTCAGCCTGTCATCTTTAAATAACAAGTCTCCCTTCCCTCCCAGCCTAGACGTGCACTCTCGAGCATGGAAATGAAGGCACGCAGGGGTAGACGGCTGGCACGTAGGGAGCTGCGGGCAGCCACACTGCTTCCAGGGTGACACAGAGGGGAAGTGGGTGTGGGAATGGGGAGTGGGAGCCCTGGGGGGCCCAGAGGATGCACAGCAAGTGCAGTGGAATCGCACGGGGAGGGCGAGCTGCTCACGGCACGACGACCAGAGCACGCTTCAAAAAATAACTTTAATTTTAAGAGATGTCTTCTGCTTGTTGCACAGCAGGAACCCCCGGCCTGAGTTATCACAGACACAGGCCAGGCCAGGCGGCAGGCACGGCCCCATAGAGAGGGGTCCATCCAGGACATTCTCCAATGGAAGGCACAAACCTGTTGCCTCTGTCATCCCCACCGCTTTTCCAAACCCCTTTTCCCCTTGAAACCATCACCAATTACTCATCAATTCCCCCTGCACGGAGCAAATGTTCTGCCTGTGTCTTCCCAAACCTTTCTGCATTGCCCCCCGCAGGTGAAGGGAGACCTCGAAACCTGCTGTGGATCCCAAACAGAAAAGCAGCTGCCTCTCCCAGCCCTGAGGATGAGCTGCCAGCAAGGCAGGGACAGGCAAGTTAAAGTGCACTGAATCACCCAGGGCAGAACGCAGGGACACTTACTGAAGAGCAATAAACTTCTGGAAGAAAGCAACTAATCCTAATGGCTGTGGTTGTGTGGCTGGGCTTTTCACAGCAGGGGCTGATACGGAACAGTGGGAAGAAAGTATTCAGGAAATAATGCTGAAAAACGTCATTTCACTCTTGCTTTATGGGATAACCTCAGCAACGTAAACAGAAGTTCAAAAATAAGGACCCTGTTGGCTCAGAAAGTGACTTGGAGCACAGCCACTTGTTGAGCACAGGTGACAGTGAGCCTGCAGAGCTCACTGCTGCTTGCAAATTATTTCTGTCTCAAGTGTGTGAAGAAGGCTGTGCCTGGCTCACCCTTGGCCCATCCAGAGGCACCTGGAAAGACATTAGGCAGCTGGAGCAGGTCTGGCTCTGCCAGCCGAGTGCTTTCCAAAGGAACTCCGACGCCCTTCCACAGCCTGGCAGAGACCGGCCAACATTTACACTCCTGCAGGACAAGTGTGAGCTCGGTGGTGCGGCATCCATCGCCAGCAATGGACACACTGGAGTTTGGTCCAAGCGGTCTGGAAGCAACCCAGGCAGCACAGTGACACTGGAAGCACTCAGAAAGGTCACCACCAGTCCTGCGCCGGCTCCCAGCACGGCTCCTCCAGACGCCGCAGAGCTGAGTCCACGTGGCTCGGGAATTCCATCCCCAGTCCCCTTCCCGGGGCGCTGTGCTCTGCCGCCGTTCAGAAGGTGCTCTCGAGCAGGCAGTGGCAGCCGCAGCCCGTGGGGCAAACCTCCTGCGTGCGAAACCACTCCATCATGTGGCTGGTGTGGCCACCGTGCCCACAGGTCAGGCAGAAGTTGGAGGAGCCCCGCACGGCCACGTGGCAGATGGCGCACTGGAAGGTGAAGCCCTTGCAGATGGCGCACTGCGTGCCCCGCGCCTCGCTGCGGCAGTGGCTGCAGTACACACCAAACTCTGTGGGAGGGCAGAACGGAGAGCGAGACGATCAGTGCTGCTGGAAACCACGGAGTCATTAAGGCTGGGAAAGGCCTCGCAGATCCTGAAGTCACAGCCCAGCCCAGCCCCACCGTGCCCACAGCCCTCAGTGCCACATCCCCGCGGCTCTGGGGACACCTCCAGGGATGGGGACTCCCCACTGCCTTGCGCAGCTGTGCCACTGCATCACCGCTCTTGGGGAGAAGAAATTGTTCCTAAAATCCCACCTGAGCCTCCCTTGGTGCAACTTGGGCCCATCGGCTCTTGCTCAGGTCACAGAATCACACAGAATCACACAGAATCACCCGGGTTGGAAGGGACCTCAAGGATCACGTAGTTCCAACCCCCCTGCCTAGCAGGGCCACCAAACACACACATTCAGATCAGGTTGCCCAGGACCCCGTCCAACCTGGCCTTAAACACGTCCAAGGACGGGGCATCCACAACCTCCCTGGGCAGCCCGTTCCAGGGCCTAGCCACTCTCCTTGTAAAGAACTTCCCCCTAACATCCAACCTAAATCTTCCCTCCTTCAACTTAAAACCATTTCCCCTAGTCCTGCTGTTGTCAGCCCTTTTGAAGAGTTTACTCCCCTCCTGGGTGTAGGTTCCCTTCAGGTATTGATAGGCTGCAATGAGGTCACCCCGCAGCCTTCTCTTCTCCAGGCTGAACAAGCCCAACTCCCTCAGCCTGTCCTCATAGGGGAGGTGCTCCAGCCCCCTGATCATCTTAGTCGCCCTCCTCTGGAGCCTTTCCAAAATCTCAATGTCTTTCTTGTACTGAGGGCTCCACACCTGGACACAGTACTCCAGATGGGGCCTCACAAGAGCCGAGTAGAGAGGGACAATCACCTCCCTGTCCCTGCTGACCACCCCTCTCCTGATGGAGCCCAGGATCCCATTTGCCTTTCGAGCTGCCAGAGCGCACTGCTGGCTCATGTTCAGTCTCTCGTCCATCAGGACCCCCAGGTCCTTCTCTGCCGAGCTGCTCTCAAGGACCGCTCCTCCCAGCCTGTACAGGTGCCTGGGGTTCTTCCGGCCCAAATGCAAAACCTTGCACTTTGCCGTGTTGAACCTCATCAGGTTCACCCGAGCCCAGCCCTCCAGCCTGTCGAGGTCCCTCTGAATGGCATCCCTTCCTTCCACTGTATCAACCGCACCACTCAGCTTGGTGTTGTCAGCAAACTTGCTGAGGGTGCACTCAATTCCCTCATCGATGTCATTAATAAAGATAAAAGGTTGGAGCAGGAGGGATTCCTGCTTCACAACGGGACAACAATCTGTGTTTCACAGACCTCAGTTTGTCTCCAAAAGGAGCAAAGACTTATCACCACCGACAGGCAGTCAGAGTGCTGGACACAGGCTGGCCCACTGATTGTCCTGATGGCTAAACAGCTGTTGGATGGAACATGTGTCATTTCTAGACTGAGACATGCTGCAGAGAGGAAGGCTTCTGGCTGCTCTCATCTGCCTCACATCTAAGTGTGGCTAGAAACAAACAGGAGCAGCAATGTTCTCCCATCACAGAGAGCACATCTGATATCAGTGATATCAATGTCTTGACTGCTCACTATGGAGAAGATAACACAATGAAGTCACCAACTTTCACAGAATCACAGAATGGCCAGGGTTGGAAGGGACCTCAAGGATCATGAATCTCCAACCCCCCTGCCACATGCAGGGCCACCAACCTCCACGTTTAATGCTAAACCAGGCTGCCCAAGGCCCCATCCAACCTGGCCTTGAACACCTCCAAGGATGGGGCATCCACAGCCTCTCTGGGCAGCCTGTTGCCTGGACAACCAGAGAAGACTGAAGCAGGCACTCACCAATTCCTTTGTGGGGATCAGGAGGACTGGAGACAAACTTCAGGACCTCAGCTCGCTTCTCTCGCAGACCCCAGCGATAGAGGATTTCACCGTAGCACTTCTTAAAGTCATCAAACTGCTGAGTATTGGCAGGATCCAGGAGCCTTGAGGAAAAAACAAACTGTGCTCTCAGTCTGGCTGCAGTCCCGTTGCTAGTGATGGGAACCAGCTCCCATCACTAGAACAACAACAGATTACTTCCCACGTGCTGCTGATGTGCTACGGAGAACCGCTGGTCTGCCCCCGGCTTGTTCTAACAGGAGGACCCCAGCAGCTCCCACGTGTCACAAGAAAACCCAGCGGAGTTGAGCTGTGCTGCACAGTTCTCCAAGTTACCACCTGAAGGTAAAGGTGCAGGAGCAGGGTTGCTGCTTCCCTCCTGGTTTCAAAGCACCAGCAGAGACCCGGCTACAGAGCTCAGGCTGCCATACCCTGAGGGCCCCAAGGCACCCCACAGCCCAGCCCACAACCCACCTTTTGTTCTTCTCGTGCTGGTCCTTCTCTCGCTCCCGATGATCGGGGTACATCAGGTTGCTGTAGCGGAACTCATCTGGAGAAGACTCGCACCAGGGAGCGGAGCTCTGCTCAGTGTCCTTGTTTGCTGCAGGCATCAGAAGAGTGCTGTGAGCGTAGGTCAGAAGGCACAGCCCTCAGCAGCACAAGATGCACATCACACAGCCACATCACTGCCTTCTGAGCCCCCCCACCCCCCTAGACGTTGCTTTGGCACAGAAAACCAATGCCAACCCCATGCTCCTGGTGAGGCACAGGGAGGCAGAGCAATGTGAAATGCAGGAATCCCCTTTGCCTCTCACTTTCTATTAAGAAGCATTCAGGCAATTCCTTGAAGCTGTGCTTGGGAACGTTAACCCTGGAATGCCTGGGTTCTCTTTCCTGGGCAGGAAGGATTCCCATCACCAGAGCTGCAGTTACGTAAGGGGGTCTCTGTACGTCCTGCCCTGCGGGCAGCACTGCTAACTGCTACAAGACAACATCAGCTCTGTTTACAGCCATTTCCCCACTATTTCCCATGTCAAAGATAAGACACTGACAGGCTACAGCTTTGCTGCCAGCAGGGCTGATGCTGCCCCAAGCCACGTTTCAACTCTGTGACCCTGGAGCCCTTGAGAGTGACTTGCTTTTGACACCTCCACAGATCAGCAGGAAATGTCATTAGTGTCACAGCTACTCAGGCCACCAAAAACTCAGCCTACCCAGTTGCTGCTGCTGCTGCTCTCCCAGTGACAGGAGAAAGCACAGCATTGCTTTTTTCCCCCCCAAATAAATCCTGCGCAATTATCTGCCTGATGACATTGCAAAGCCACACTCGATAACAGCTGAATGATTGTGGTGACTGGTAGGGGTGCCTGAAGACTGGAGGAAGGCAAATATCACTCAGAGTATCTTCAAAAAAGGCAAAACTGACCTGGGGACCTGCAGGCCAGGCAACATCACCTCACTCCCTACTAACCTAATGGAGCACTTAATCCTGGGACCATCGCTAGACGTGTGAAGGATGAGAAAATCATCACAAGCAGCCAGCATGGCTTAACCACACAGAGGTCACGTCTGACCAACCTGATAACGTTCTGTGATTAAATGGCTGGCTCTCTAGAAAGCAGTGGCCATTGCCTGCTTTCCTTTCACTTCAGTAAGGCTTCTGACCCTGTCTCCCATGTGATCCTCACAGACAAGCTGATGGAACGTGGGGTGGATGAGCAGACAGTGAGGCGGATTAAAAACTGGACAAGCAGCTGGGCCCACAAGGTGGTGATCAGTGGAAGGAAGTCTACTTTGAGGCTGGTAAATAGCATTGTGCCCCAGGGGTCAACACTGGGTCCAGGCCTGTTTAACATCTTCATTAATGGTCTGCACGACGTGGCAGAGAGTTTACTAATGACACGAAACTGTGAGGAGTAGCTGATATGCCAGAGGTTGTGCTGCCATTCAGAGAGGCATCAGCAGGCTGGGGAAGTGGGCCAACAGGAACCTCATGCATTTCTACAAGGGGAAATGCCAAGTCCTGCACCTGGGGAGGAACAACCCCAGGCACCAGTGAGGCTTTATAGTCCCTCAGAGATACTCAAAGGCTTCCTGGACGTGGTCCTGAGCAACCAGTTTTAGGTGGCTCTGTTTGTAGCAACCTGCTCCAAGTACCCCGTGTGAGCAGGAAGGCAGACTGCATGACCTCCAGAGGACCCTTCCAACACCAGACATCCTCTGAAACAAAAGACACGAAGGCCCTTTCAGTAGCACTGTCTGTTGAAGACTGCAGCCTCACTGCACGGAGATAACAGCCTCAAACAGTACAAAGTACCAGGGCTACGGAATGCTTACATCACCAATCAGCAGTGAGACAGTCAGCACGAGCAACGACAGCCAGTCTGGAAGCAAAACAACACAACCTGGTCTCTCTTCACTTGCTGCAGCAGTGGAAGCTCTTGGCCATGGGTTAACCTGTGATCAGGGAGTCTAACTTGGCATGTCTAGAGGGTTTGTAGCAGTTTCTGCAAAGCTCAGGAGACAGAAGGAGCAGGACTGTGGGACCACCAGCATGGTTACTGTAAACCATGCTAACTTCCAGCCAAAGAATACCCTGTGGGCCAATGCACAGAAAGCTTCTCTGGCCGAGTAGATCTGCAGTCAGCCAGCGCTAGCTCCCTGCCCTCCCCAACACACGAGCTATCTAAGACCTAGGCCAGAAGGGAGGCAGATTTCTCTACCTGCTCCCCAGGTCTCAGTACCTATGCTCCAGCCTCCAGTGCCAAGTCCAGGATCCGACATGCTGGAACAGGAACCAGAGGAAGTGAAGCTGGGCTGTTGAGCGGAAAAAAAGAAATCGTGTCATCTACACAAGAGATGTTCAAAGGCTTCTGAGGCAAGCAGGAAAGAAATGGCTGTCATACGTATCGGCTGTGGGAGGCCAGGTTGGAGGCACGCTGAGGAAAGGGGCCATAGGAGTTTGGGCACCCCTGTAACCTGGACTGGGCTTCAAACACACTGCACAGCATGGCCAGGGTCTGCACATCGTGGAGCTGCGAGTAGTGAGCCAGCCTAGGAAATGAAAAACACCAAGTCTGAGATTGGCACAGTTCAGTGGAAAAAGCACTGAGACTCCAAGGCAAATAATTTCAAGCCTGCTGCATAAATCCATTCAGGGCACATTACTGCCCACGGGAGGCATGTGCATTCTGCTGCCTTTTCTATCACGCCTTTCAGGAACCAAGCCCTCCCCCTGCAAACACTCCTGGCCTAACAGGTGGGAGAAAGGCAGGGAGGAACTCTGGGAATCCAGCAGTGCTCGTGGCCCCACTATCCCAGCTCCGTGCAGCTTCAGGAACAAGGCCCACACAGCTCGTGGATATAAAGCTGGGGCCACTAAACTCATCCCCTGCTTGCACTGCTTTTTTTTTGTTCTGAGACCCTCTGCATGCAACCATCCTGCACCCAGATCACAAGGCAAATCTCCGCCGCACGTCTCCTGGATTGCTATGAAGTCCCTGAAGACTGAGAGCAACAAAGAGCTGCCCATGCTCCCCTCCCACAGCTGCTGCACAGCAGGAAAGAGCGAGGTCAAGCAATCGCATAGCAAGTACAACACACAAACTGTGTCTTCAAATGGCATAGATCAACAGATAATGTTAATTACTAATCGTTCTCCCTCCTGAACAGATTCACTGGCAGGAAGACTTGTGCGGCTCATACTTGGCTCTGAGAGCAGTAAAGTAATTCCCACTAATGCTGCGTGGCAACAGTGAATGTGAAAGCGAATCAAGCAGCTGCACCCACACAACCATTTAGGAGGCGGGGAGCAGAAAACCTGAATCTTTATTTGTAAGTCAGGCGTTGTGGGCACACGGGAGAACAGAGCTCCAACTGCACCTGAGCTGTCGCTCGCTGTCAGCCCAGGGACTCCCGGGTGCCTGATGGAGGCCAAATGCTGCCCCCTGCACGTCACCAACGCACTTGCACAAAGCTGCCATACAATATACACACGGATGAAAGGCTCCCCCTGCTTCAGCAGCCACTCCCATCCCTCCCTAGCATTCAGAGACCTACAGGGACTCCAGTAATTGACGTCCAAATGGATGCTGTGCCCAAGGTATCTCCAGATCTGGGTCAGACTTCGGTCCAAGACAAAGATCAGTGGCTACCATAGCCAGTGACCAAACCTGGCAGACAGGAAGGAAAAGCATCAAAGTTACAATTAGAAACAGGCAGACTCCTGGGGGATAGGTGTGCACAGATTCACTCGCAGATAAATAATAATGGATTTCAACAAAACAAAACAAAACACAACTACCAAGAGGGAGCAGTTCCAGCCTCAGTGTGACAAGGAGTATGTAGAGCAAAAAAAAACAGATGCTTTTGCTTCGGAGTTGGGTTAAGCCATAGCTTATTCTTCTTCAAAGTTCAACAGGAGAATTTAAGCAGACCTATTAGCTCATTTACATTCACAAACCTCAGACGGGTTTCAATTCGATGCAGTTCCTGGGTTCAGAAACATCTGGTGACAGAAAGATTGCCAGTGCAACTTTATTTGCTTGGCACGAACCCTCTGCTGAGCTGCGTTACTGCACACACAGCTGAGCACAGACAGATGGGCAGTTTGCCACCCCTGCCCCACGGGTTACCTCCCTCTTTCACACACCACCTTTCTCTTATCTCCCTTTTCTCTGAAAATGGCTCCATCTTTTCGGTCTGCATCCCTCTGAATGTGCACAACTGAATCAAACCTAGGACTGTTTTTGTTCCGGCTGCACCTTTTTAAAATGGAGCAATTAGAACACAATATTCCAGGGCAAAACAAAGTTCTGAGTTTGGCACAAAAAAATAATAAAAGAAAAGGAAAGTGAGCACCATGCTGGAAAGAGCAGGAGTCAGAGAGGGGACAGCTGTACCTGCAAACACAGAAAAGCTGGGGAGAAAACCCAAGTGCTGCAAGTACCCAGAGGAACAGCCAGGAATCACAACCCCATAAATGGGAGAGAAAGAGACAGTAAAGAGACTGAAACAAGGACAGGTCTGAGTGTGAAAAACTATAGAAAGGAACCTGGAAAAATGTCACTTCCTATACTGCTGCAGAGCATGTCTAGCATGTGACTCCATCACTCAAACCTCCACATCTTTAAGGAGCAAGGCAAGCTACAATACAGGCTGGAGTTACACAGGCAGGGAACAACGAGCAAGAAACAGAGATATCAGAAGGATCCTGCTGAAGCTGTCCTACCCAAGCTCCTGTGCTCCAGGTAAACCAGTCTGCTCAATGAGGCACAGAGGGAAAAGAGACCTACCTTCTTCCTGGGGGTGTGGCAGAACCACAAGCTAACAATCTCAGACAACAGCTTGAGGTGGCTCCTGCCATTCAGCAAGCCCATGGCTGCTCCCTGCACAGTGCTAGGGGGAGCCAAATGCTCAGCACAGGGGCACAGGCTCCTCTGGCAGTGCCAGCCTGCTCCCCAGTCCTGGCAAATGTTTGCCTGTTGCTACAGACTAACCACAGGGCAAGGCACAAGCCAAAGCAGTCATCCTTCCCCTGCTACTAGCCGAATGCAAGTGGATAGCCCCCCATTCTAGGGCTGGGGCTCTGGATGCAGAGTTTTCTTGGGGAGAGCTGGCTGCAGTTAGCACACAGCAGCGGTGCAGATTAACGCTGAGCTAATTACAACAGGAAGTATTACACAAGACAAAACCATCGATCAAATCCTAACAGCAGCTTGGCAACTCTGTGCACAGTTACTTCCTCTGCAGACTCGAACACAGACTGCATCCCTAGCTCTGCCTGCAGGAATTGCCTGAAAAATGTGCTTCACTTTGTTTGGCAACAGGCATACCACATCCTGCCTGCAGCCCAGCAAGGGGACCTCTAACTGCCCAAACCAAGGAGCTACAGAGCACCTCTGGAGCTGTCTCACACCCCTCGGTTCATCAGCCTTTTCACACACACTGGAACAACTGCTGAGGTCAGCTGACTGTCCAGGTACCAAGGCAATAGCACAAGGCATCCAAGGGTAGTGAGAAAGAGGTCTGATTCATTGTAATACCTGTACAAGATCCCTCCGTCCAACGGCCATGGCTGAGGCAGCATTCTTCTGGCAAGTCTCCTGGATATTATTTACGTTCAATCTGAAAAGAAGCAAGACAGATCAGCTTTTTGGCTGGCATGCTGCCTGAGAAGGCAGGGAGGAATGGGGAGGATGTGGTACTGGTAATAGTAAGTAGCCCAGAACGTGCTGATCACTGTGAGCCTACAAGCACGACCAGGATCTCATCTGGCCCCCCTGTGTTACTCAGGGATCACTGCCATCCTTCTGGCAGCTCCCACTATTCATCTTCCCTAACACACTGCTTATTGCACCAAGTCCAGCTCCAAGCTGGCTTGGTCCTAAGATGCACCACTTCCATGGGGATGCTGGATCCAACTTGTGCCAGAACAGCACCAAGCCAAGGATCGTTCCTGTCCTTAGGATCCATCAGTGATGTGGCTCTGTCTCCATCCAGCCTGTTGATCTGTTCTACTTAACTGGAAGAAATCAGCCTTACCCGCAGACAAGCACGTTTCTGAGCTGGATAACACACCCCTTGCAGAGTCTCTGGGTGCCTGACAAGGGGCAGGGGGAGCCTGAAGAAACCAAATGAGCTTTCCCATTCATCGTCAGAAAGGTTCTTCAGACACTTGACATTTTTTACAAGTGAGGTAACCAGAGAAGAAAGATCCATCGGGTCTCTTTAAAGAACATTCTCTTTCATAACACAGACAAGAGAGAAGGAAGGCTTTCTCCTCCCCACTATCCCTTAAGAAGGGCAGCCTGCTCCTTCCCTGAATTTGTACCACTAACTTCTCTCTCCGGCTGACAAAAGCCCGAGCCTGAAAGAGTTGTAGTGATGATGCTGGAGCACCAGTTCACTCTGTATACAATTACACCATCACGTATTTCTTCCATTGCTTTTCAGATGGAAGAAAGACAAGTCTCTTCTCACAGGCAGAGCAACACTATAAAAAAAGCAGAAAGGCAAGAAAAAAGGAAGAAACGTTTGAAGGACAAAAGCACGGCAGTGCCAAAAACAACTGCTTTCCTTTAAGAAAGGCTGCCAGCCCGTACTCACATGTAGAGCTCTCCCAGCAGCTTGTGCACAGGCAGCAAGCAGGAAATATCTTGTATAATAACTTTCCCGGCAGCTTTGATGGGTCGGTTGTTGGCATCTGTCCCCTCCCGTTTGCTTTTCCACCTCCTCGACTTCTGCAGAACAAATGGCAGCGTGTTACTGGGGAGCAGGACAGCAGCCTTCGTGGGCCAGGGAACAAAGCACTAGCGTCAGGAATAATGCAAGCAGCACCCAAACCCGCCTTTCAGAAGGCTCTGTGTCACCCTGGAAAACATCCATGACATGCCCAGGAGAACAAGCATCTCCATCTGCAGGAAGTGAAAAGCAGGTCAAGGCAACGAGCTCAAGGTCAAACTCACTCAAAAAGTATTCAGTGAGTTCTCCAATGAAAGCCAATAAGAAACAAATTGGCATCGGGCTGCCAATCAGACCCGGGGAGGTTTGGCAGGATATGGTTCAATTAGCACTCGTTAGAGGTCTGGTCTGGGAAGCCTTGCACACAGACCACCGCTGGCTTCGGCCAACACTCAGCACAGAGACCAGCAGGAGCCAGCTTCTGTTCGCCCTCGGCTTCAGGCAGGGCCAACAGCTCCAGACCCTCCTTTGGTCTGAGATCACCTCTCCTGCTTTATCAAGAGCTTCAAACAAATGGCAGATGATAAAGCAGGGCCCACGTTTTCCTAGCAAGGATCCTCAGCTACCATGCTCACAGCTGGCTCAGGGCACACAGCTGGGGGGAAAAAGGAAGGAGAGGAATCGGCACGAAGGAAAAAACCAGGGAGCCAGGATCCTAAATACTCCCTGTAACAGACACAGAGGCCATCTTCGTGCCAAGCTGCGTAACGCTGCCTCGGCCACATGACAGCCCGTCGAGTATCGGGCAGCTCCTTGCTGCAGGAGGGCAGTGATGAGGGCTGAGGATGTGCAGCACAGGCAAGCAAAGGCTACACAGGATCTCTAGGAGGAAGCGCTGGCTGCTACGAGCAGCGGTGGTGCCTTGCAGTGCTGTGAGCTCCCTCACTGACACGCTCCTATCCAGAAGCGTTCCCACGTCCCACTGAGCTGCAGAGGCTCTGCTGAGCACAGCCAGAGCTCACAGTCCCTCTGTCCTGCTGCACTGCTGGCTCTGCAAGGCAGGCACAGCTCACCCAGGCACATCAGTGCTCCTAAAGAGCAGACTGAGCTGGGGGAAGCACAGCACCGGGGCCTTCTTCACTGCTTGTGTTCCCACACAACGAGTGGCCGAGGCCCAAAGGCTCGAGCACAGGTTTGGCAGTGAGTAAAGGAGGCAATTCAGTCTTGAAGGAAGTGAAGGTGGACTTTTCTGCCTTCGTGACAGATCCTCACCCGCTCCCCTGGTCTTCCACTGCTCCCCAGAGTAAAGAGGAGCACGCACACTGCCCAGCCAGAGGTACCAGATGGAAACTCAGCACTCAACGCTTGGGAACTGGACAGCCAGGGCCTAATTTTGTTCTCAGCTACAGCCCTTCAAACTCTGATCCATCCAAACAATTTGCTTTCAGTTTTTATCTCATCTACTGCTCAAACTGAGGACTATGCAGTGGAAGGTGACTACAGGATGGGAGATCAACCACTCCTCAATCCATCAGCTTCCAGCCAAGGCCCTGCCTGGACCAGCTCTGGCTCTCACCCTTGGGCACAAAACTTTCTTCTGATAACACCTAAAAGCATCGCTACCCTTTCTGTGCTGAAAGATGTGGACTGTATGATGATAAGGTTCTCAAACCACTGTGTTGCCTGTCCCTGCTTCCTCATCTGCAGGACGAGGTGCAGCAAGGAGTTGCTGATGCTGCCAAAACCAACACTGGAGCAAAGCTCGGGAGCCCCAGAACGAGGACGTGCCACCAGGGCAGGAGTGCAGGCAGTATTCACCAAAAGCAGCCCCCTGTGCCGCATCTGAATGCAGGCTTGCAGGCACAGAGCCACGCTTTGCAGGTCTAGAGCTCGGCAGGAAATTTGGGGAGCAGCTTGCTACCTCCTGAGCATCTGCAAGTCGCAGCTGATGGAGCGTTACCCTGCGCTGTCACTGAGAACAGCTCAACCTGCTCCTGCCCCCTGCACGAGCCAGCTGAAGAAGCCTCCCAGCAGGTATTGCAAAGACCAGGAACACGGACAACACACACCACTTTGCACAGGCAATTTAGTCACTTTTTTTTTTTTTGAGAATGGCAACAAATGAGGATGAGCATGGAAAAAAGAGCCCATGAATGGCTTCCTGCTTGCTGTTAGCATACCACCAGACAAATGAAGACACTAAATGCATCAGAGCCCTGTGAAAGCCTGAACTCACAAAGTCCTGCTTTTTTTCCTCCTAGCTCTGCCTGGTTACTGACCAACAGGGAAGACCTAATCCTCTACTGGTGCAGCTCCAGCAGCAGGTTGGCCTATGACCACACACCCTGCCAGCACCACTGCTTCCTGCCCCTTGAACTGTGATAAAAGAAAATCATAAAATTAAGGGTGCAGCCACAGTTCTACGTGTCATGCTTTTTCAAAATTCGGGTAGGCCTCTGCAGAAAGGGGCTCAAAGGCAAGGAGAGCTCTAGCTCGGGTCTGGCTGGCCAAGGTCCACCACAAGGTTCCTCTCTTCCTTCTATTCCAAGCCTGCTCCAGTGAGAATCTTCCCCTGTGGTGTTAGGCAAGGCTCACAGGCAGCAGGGGGGACAGGAGACACGTCTCTTCCCAGGGGCTGGAGCACAGGTGACAGAGGGGAGCAGGGAACACAACGGTTGGAGCAAAAGCAAGTCAGCATGCACACACCAAACTACCGCTAAGGGCAAAGACACAGGCCTTCTGCACTGCCCCAGCACTCCTATCTGCAACTAGAGTCTGGGCCAGGGTGAACTGCATCTACCCACCTGGTCCTGAGAGCTTAAGGAAAGGAAGAAAAGAAAGAAAATAGCTGTGGCAATAGCAAATTAAGGCTCATCAGCTCCTCGGAGCACCAGAAGGAAAGAAACCAGAGCATTTACGGCAATCAAGGGGTTGGAGGTGACAGCGAGGAACAGCACTGAACAATGACTAAAAAAGCCAGCCTGCACTGCACTACCATACCCAAGGCTGTAATTTGCTGCAGTCTGAGGTGATAACGATGGCAGTAAATGGGTTACATGTAGAAACAGACAGCCCAAGAATAAGCCACCAACTGCTTCGTAGCAACCACCATCACTGCATACTCAGCAGAAGTAGGTACAAAGTGCTGCGTGCCCGCTTGGAAAGGATGCTGGGCTGTGGGGTGTGTGTGCCTGCGGGTCCTGCTGAGGCAGGCAGCGCTGGAAGTTGACTTTGTGAAATGCAGAGTGCCTGGTTCACATCAGCGTATGCAAAACCTCAGTTTGTAGGGTAAGCTGGTGTGCTAGCAGGGCAAAGGGAAAGGTTGTGGACGAAAGAGAAGAGGCTCAACACCAGAGATTAAGCTGCATTAAGGTATTTACAAAATAAAGAGTTAAACAAGTTCAAAGCCAGGTTCAAGCTGCTTCTAAGAACTTATTTTTTAAATTAAGTTTTAAAATTGCTGCTCCCCTGCAGGTTCCTTTACTCTGAACAAGTGCCTGCAGATTAACTCCTGGTGCAGGTCGTGCAGCACTGCCTGGACTTTATCTCCAAAGAATCCACACTGACGGCTCACAGCATCTCCTGCAGCACCAGGCACGTCCCCAGAGAGGCCAAAAATCAACGTCCCCCAGCAGGAGTGTTTCTTTTTCTTCCAAATATCTTCATCTTGGGCACCGCTGCCCACTCAGGAGAGCGTGATGAGGCTTTTCCAGCAGTTATCCACTAATGCAATCAGTATGCCCAGGCTTGAACTATCCCACATACCCTAAAAATAAGCATGTTGCACAAAAAGTTAACTTCATCACATCAGCACTTGCTCTTCCTTCCAAGCCGGTGGAAAGCAAATTCAACTGAGGTCCTGAGTGGACCACGATTTATTGCACCAAACTCTGGCAAGCTCTTGCCTGGTTTTCTCTCCTTTAGTCAATTCCTACTCCAATGAAGAGCCTCATTTCTTGCCTCCACCACTCACATTTCGTTAGCTCTTCACAAAAAGCCTCCGAGTCAAGTAAATTTCTTCTGGTTTCTCTCACCTATTATTTGACAGTATAGACTCAGTGTTGTTGTAATTAGGAAGGCTCGACCTATTATACCAAGTTAAATTAGGTGTTACGGGATTCTATTTTATCCCCTGCTGTCTTGAAGAGATAGCATGAAGGCAAACAGCTGTGAAAAACAGTTGTTCACACAGACCTAAAGAAATCATCTTTAAATTGAACTGGAGTCTTCTAGGCTTCGCCTGTGCTTGGCAAAGGACTGATGAAACAGTAATTGCCCAAATCCACATTGCAGCTTGAGCAACGCTGATATTATCAAGACGCTCACATGAATGATGTCTTCAAGCGTTAAAGACAAGTGGACTACAGCAACATGACTTGTCAAAACAGTCTTGGAAGGGCAGGTGCCAGGAGGAGGGAGCACCAGCCAGTGTTGCACCTCGACTGAATGCAGAGCAGTGCAATTCTAAGCGCTGGAGAAGATCATGAATCGAGGAGAAATCCTACTTATTGCTCCAGGAAATAAGGCATTTCTGGTGCAACACACGCTCGTTTTAATGAGATGACAGATCATTATCAGCAGCTCAACCGGTTTGCTTCTTCCACAGCTCTTAAGCAATGCCATGCCAGCAGCTTGCTGCTCTTTAATATTATGTTCCAGAACTCCTCCCTCTCCAGAAGGGTTTTGTCTTTTCCAGAGATGAGGTGTTCTCATGTCAGCCTCATCAGTTACCTGATGATGCATAATAATCATCACTCAACTCCTCTGCGGTGCGCTCTTCTTAGCGCACGCTTCTTAGAGGTTGATCCTTTCTTAAACTTCAAATTACCCCTTGGATCCTTTCCTGACTGCAAGGCCAGGTGACAAAGGCATGTCATATATAAGGCAGCGTTTGTACCCTTTGAGATCGTGTCTGCTCCTGCCCACTTACACATGCACTTAGTGCTCCTGAAGCCCTAGGCCCTGTGTGGAGCGCGGGTCCCCCACCTCTGTGCAGGTTACTCAAAGGCAGGCAGGTGGCATTTTATTCTTGGGCCCTTGGGCAGAAGACAGGGTTGTATCAAGGACAGTATCAGCACAGCGCACAGTACCGGGAAGTCGTTAATTGCTTGTATGGACCAACGCCGCCGGGCAGAGCGAGGAGACATCTGCGTGTGAAAACGTTATACCCAGGAAAAGGGGAGAGAGACACCAAGAAAATTAAAGGCAAAGGTAAACAAACCAAAGTGAAAAGCGCTCTGAACCAGCAGAGTAAAAGACACCGTTCCCCATGGTTCTGTTACACAATGGCAGTTGCAAAACCAGGTCTCCGCTTTCATCCGTGCACAGCTGTGCTCTACATTACCTGCAGACCTGGGAAACTGCGGGCTGCTCTGTGGAAGGACTGCAGCGACCTCAACTCTGAGCAGCCCTCCAATGCAACAAGCAACATGACCTTGTTCATACCGTGCCTTGACAGCAGGGGAGAGAACAACCCATGGTACCCCATGTGACAGGCTCCTACTCTAACCAGTTTTCCTCCCTTTCAGGTAAAGGAGGAGGTGTCTAAGTGCTGCCTCAGCTGCATTTAACGTTTTTAACACAGCTGCCTGGCACAGAAATCTGCAGCAAGCTCAATAAAAGCTCCTGTTTCTCAGACATCCCTTTAACATCCAGCATCCTCCAGGACTTCTTCCACTGGAACCTGCTGCAGCTGTTCACTTTCATGTCGAAAGCAATAAAAGGCAAATGTCAGGATATTAAAGGGATGTAGAGACCCCGCTGCCCAGCAGGACAGTGTGGAAATTGCCATTATGGGCTGAGGAATTCGTTCAGGTTGAGCGAGCAATCAAGTTCACTGATTGACTATGCAGAACAGCTCCAAAGTAGGCTTTCATTATGAACCTGCAGGCATTTCATTAAGTGCTTACGCAGTACTGTAACAATAAACTGAATCTCTCCAAGCATATTATTCTGCACTCACTTGGAAAAAAATATTTGTCATACCTCTGTGAGAGTCAGCACAATAAAAAGGAGAAGAAGAGAGTTATTTGTGCTGTGAGGTACTTTGCATTTATTTTCAGCTGCTAATAGACAGTCAGCATCACCAGGCAATGCCCGGGCTTCTGCCTCCCCTTGCAGCTCACCACTGGGAGAAGCCTGCAGCCGGGCACTGCTGATGGACTGCTGCATTAGGACTATTTTTGTTTTTTGGAGGAGCATGCATGTGTGAATAAAAAGTGGAAACACATGCTTGTGTACAGACACACATCTGTGAAGGAGCCCAGGAAGGCTCAGGGGCTGGTGTAGCTGTGCTGTGTCTACTAAGCAGATCTCTGCTGCATCTCCTCTGCCCTTCTGGGAACACGACACATTCCCCACCCAGCAACACACACATTCCATTTAGTTGTTAATGGCAGCAAGGCTAGTGCATTGCTACATGGGATTTCAGTTCAAATGCTTGGTCATCTCTGAGAAATTCATTTTTGGGAATGAAGTTATAGGATTTTTGGTTTTGTTTACCACCAAATTCCAATTTTTTATTCAATGGAAATATAAAATTCAAGCTTCAGAGCAAGGAGCTAATGAGATTCAGAGCCTGGGGTTTTTATGCCTTAAAATCCTCACAGTTAAACATCGAAACTATTTAGCACTATCTACAAAGGCTGGGAACATCAGCTCCTGAGGAGCCAGAAAACTTCTGCTGAAGGGAGATGGAGGCTTTTTAGAACTCTCTCATTTGCAGAACACTTTTGCTAGCTCCCTTCTAAGGTTCTTACAACTTCTTCCAACCCAGGATGCAAGGACAGAGCTTAGCATGGGGTTGGAGAGCAGCCATTTACTTCCCTGGATTTCAGGCGACATGCCTACACACACACTTTGTTCCCTAGATTTTCTCCCCACCCTGACAAAAATCTTGTCACCATTGCCACACGGACTGGGGAGATGGGTCACTTGAAATTGCACCAAGCTGCTTCCACGTTATTTTTAGTCTTGTCTGTCATCTTAGAGAGCTGCATGTCAGAGACAAGCACACTGCAGAGGACAGAAGAAGCACTTTAAATAAGCTCTCCTGCACAGACCAGGGCAGGTTGTAACTCCTGTATCAGGCAGTGCTGTTTTCTCATCCAAAGAAGTTTGTGTGGGGAAAGAAAAAAAAATAACACAATGTGGACTGCAAGAGTCTCCCAGGGCCTGAATGGAAGCAAAACCTGCAATGGGGACAGAGGCTGGCAGGTGCAATCACTGACTGGCTTCACATAAGCAGGACACAACCCCAGAAGGGCTGGCTGTCATGTTTGGGACTACTGGAAAAATCAAGACTTCTTGCAGCACCAAGAAAGGATGAAAGCTCAAGGCTCTGATTCTTCCTCTGCTCCTGAGCTCCAGTGCAGCACTTGGCTTTCTCTGGGTACCTGGAAGCTCTCCTTCACTGCCGCAGAAATGTGCCCACAAAACAGTGACAAACTGCTTGAATGCCCTGAATTCTCAGGCTCTCAGTGAAAGCTTACTACCTTTTTGTAAGCCACACCACTTCCTGCTGAAGCGCAGGGAGTTTGTTTCAGAGCACACTGCATGGCTGATTGCTCCCATGGCATCAGCTCTTCTGCCCAACGTCCTCATGGCAAATCAGGCCATCTAACACTGCAGAACTACCCTGTAGTTTCCAACTGTCCTTCTGCACCCCGTGTGCCCTGGAAGGAAACAATCCCCACTCTTCTCCAAAGCCTTGCTTGTGAACAGCAGTGATACAAGGCCTATGTCTAAAACAGAGGTACAGGTTATTAAAAGGTCTTTGGAGGATCATGAAGGGACCTTTTTTTTTTTTGTTTAAAATAGTCCAAAGGGGCACACATCCCTGAAAGAGACACCTGTAACAGAAATCACTCAAATATACCCCATAATCCAGAAGAGACTGTCAGTAAGCTTCACAGATCCCCAGCCCTTTGCAGCTATACACATCGAGGGTGCAGAGAAAATCAGAGTGGCCAGCAATGTACTTAGATGGAGACTAAAGCTTCTCAAGCGTGAGGTTTTAACCGCATCTAATGCAAAGGGAGGCAGTGAACTGAAGGAAGCTGTAATGGTGAGTCTTGAGAGATCTCAACGTGCTAAAGTTAAGCAAGTCAAATGCTAAGAGGATCAGCAAAGAAGTTACTAACAGTAGATAAATCCATGCGACATTTGTACAGAGCTGCTTGTAAAAGATGCCTTCCTCAGAGGAATGTGAAGCTACCGTTACCAGCAATGCTCACAGCCGTAAGAAAAGAGTACAAGTCAAAAGCTGAAGTACTGGGAAGGCTTTTTAGCACGGTGCTTACCCTCTCTTTGTAGTAGAAGGAGCTAATGGAGACCTGCTCCTTCTCACTGCGCGTGGGACTGCCGCTGTACAAACGCAGATTGCCTGGAGTCTCTGTACGGATCTTCATCGGAGTAATGAGGCCACTGTGGTATGCTGACAAGGCTGACAGGGACCTAGGAACAAGAGAACATGCTTTCTGGAGCTTACATCCATCAAAACGTCTTGAAGGCTGAGACAAACAACTCCTCTAACCCAAGCTGTGAGTAGCATTTTTAGGTGTGTTGAGAGAAGGGGTCTGGGACCTATGGGACCAGGCTGTGCCACACAGCTAACAGTGCTTTCTGAGGGCCAACAGCTCCAGCACAGGATCTGCCTCTCTGCCCACGTGGCAGTGTAACATCTGAAAGGTGATGCAGGCAACTCACCGGGGTGTGGGCTCCGTTGGGGACACTGCACGGTGCATGGTCATGGGCCTCGTGAAATACACCAGGTACCCTGCAGGGACAGGACACAGAATACAGATTCTGCCAGGAGGAGCAGACTGCCCAGGGGTGGCATGAAGGGCCTAGAGGCCTATCCATTACCCTGAATGCTTCTAAATAGTTTTCCCAACCCAAATCTACCTCTTTCAAATGCTTGAAAGAGCATGTGTTGGTGCTTTTAAGGCAATCAAACAAGTTGTTGGACACACACATGCTTTTGTGCTTTACCTCTTCACCAGGATTGTCCAGCATTCTGATACTCCAGATGCAAGTGAGGCCATTAACATGCAAAGAACTCACAAGAGCTGGTAAATCTCTTTGAAAGGACAACCCAAGCCATCTGACACTACCTCCAAAGTGCTCCCACAAGCTTTACTCCACTTGCTACCACTTCAAGTGTCCACAGCCACTCACCCAGGTGCAGGAGTTTTGAAGCAGAGCAGGTTTCACTCAGCCTGCTCAATGCAGCATTACTGTTTTACTTATGCTTGGAATTCAGTGAAACGTGTATGAAAAAAAAGCTCTCAAAACATTGAGTCAGTAACAAGAATAACCTTTAACAAAGGATAAGTTCAACCCAAAGTTACAGGCATTTTGCGAAGACCCAAGAGCCAGAGCACATGCAGCAATTTGATGTGGGCAGGAGGGAACTATGGAAGGATAAAAGCTACCCCCAGACTTCTGGAAAATGAAGAGTTGCATCAGTGCCTTGGCATGCCTTGTGCCAAAGGCCATCTCTTCCATCAATTCTGGATTTCCAGATCTGTATCCTAAAATCCCACATGGAACACCAACTGCAAGCAGGCCCATTATCTGCAAATTTATCATAATATAGCTGCATGAGAAGCATTTAATACTCCTTGCATGGCAGCAACCAAAGCCTTGTCTTGTTCAGATGCAACTGTTCCCCAAGATGTACTTTTAAGTACCCTTCTTCTGATGGCTGCCATTGTATCAGTGACGAGGCTAACCTGCACCACAGAACCGGGCTCCAGAGGTCCGTGGAAATGGGATGTTTGAGTCCTGGTAGGAGCCATAGGCATTGGAGACCCGGGCAAAGGTGGGCAGGGGGGTCGTCACGGAGTTGGACAGAGCATAGGGGTTGCTGGACGTGCTGTCCTCTTGGTTCTGAAACAGAAAGTTAGACAAGGTCATGCTCCTGCTGCCCCATGGAGGAAACCCAGCTGGAGCACTGGGAATCCTCGTGCCAAGCAGCCTCACACAGACATCTACCTCTCCTTCGAGTCAAAGCAGATCAAGAAGAGAGCACAGCTACCACTGTGGCTCCGAAAGCATTTGCAAGCATGCGTACCTCTGAGCCAAGTGCTCCTCTGCACTGCTGTTTGTATGGAGAGCTCTCTCCCACCACGGCTGTGTTGAAATGCAGAGCTCAACTAGGGTGGAAACAGCGGCCTCGAGGGAAAACTATATAGGAAATCTGACCTTCAGATGTGACTCCCAGCAACAAAACACAAAGCTGAGAAAAACCTGGTACCTCGATGACGCCAGTAAGACAAAGTCACCTTAAAGATGAGCATCTTGACACCCCATGCAAATGTGGGGGTGTCAAAGAAAAGCCGGACATCTTGAAGTGAGGGAGGCAGGTGGTGAAAGTCTGGGAGATCTCAGGTCTGCCCTGAGAAATTATGGCAGAAATCTGCATTCAATTGGAAAAGATACAGCTCAGGTCTAAAGGAATCCTATAAAAGCATCTGACTCAAATTTTCCATACAAGTACTGCTGAAACCAAACAGAAATAAGCTTCCAACGTGGAAAAAGAGAAAATTTAAAAAATTAAAACAACACCTCCAAACAAAAAAAATCCCCTATTCATGATGAATAAACAAAACCTCTTGAAAAAGAAACCTGAGAAGACTCATCTTTTTCTGAATGCTAAAAACACACGTTACAGTACACTGCACCCACCCACAGACCTATTACCTGACACCAGGATGCTGAGTAGGTATCACCAATCTCTCAGCTAAGGGCAGAGTGGGACTTGCATTCATTTGTGGTATCAACCCTATATAACCCTTGCACAAGGCTTTAGAAAAAAACCAGACTTTCATATCTTTGTTCAAAGGAAGAAAACAAAAGCCCTCTGGTTGGCACGACCTTTGAATAGAACTGAGAGGTAAAGACATCTGCCACTGCCTTTCAGACCAGAATGAACTCATCACCTTCCTGACATCTTATTTTCTTCTACAGCTGATATCCATGCCCTGCTGGTCAGTGAGATCTGCTCAGAGCTGGAAAGCTACCATGCTCCACTGTGATGCTGCAACCAACAGTAACTCCTGCTAACCTAATTATTAGTGAGCACCCACACAACAGCAAACCTTCAGAGCCTGATCAGCCAACTCTGTTTTCTTCAACATTAACCACAAGAACTTCCACAGATCTATCAGCCAGTCACAGGGGTCTATTTACATGCCTAATGAGGCCAGACTCTCCATGCAGAGTCAGAAGCGTGGGATGTGAGAGAAGACAACAAAGTAGGGCAGAAAGCCCATGGAATTCTCCATACCACGACAGACTCCAGCCAGGAGACGAGCTGACGCAGGCAGGGCTCCAGGCAGCTCTGGTTCCTCTTCACTTTCTGCAGGGAAGTGTCTTTCAGTATCTGGAATACATGCAAGATACAGCTTGAGTCATAGTTATATCCGCACCTTCCCACATCCTTTTTTGTCTGCAGAGTAGCAAAGTTGCCAGGCTCATGAGACTGCAGGGCCAGAGACATCCCAGAACACCCACCGGAGCCACATTCACCCACTGATGCGCTGTCTGCTTCAAGGAAAGAATGACTGAGCTTTGATCAGAGCACGGAGGGCTCACTGACGTTCAGCACACCCTGATCCAGGCTTTGGGCTTCTGTATTACTGTAGCCCATAATATTCCATACCAGTTTGTGGCAAACTGGATCCAGCTTTTTCAAGAAGGAACCCAAACGGATCCTTCTGCCTGATGGATAAGCTTAGGCCTAAGCCTGAGGCTACTTTGCTCCAAGGCAGCCATTTCAGCCCTAACACATAACACTGTTGGACATGGGAGGACCAAAGCTGAGGCACTCATGCACTTTGAAATCCCAGGTTCTTGCTTCCTTCCCTTAAAGAGCAACTTCTCATCATTCCTTTCCATTCAAACACAAACCATTCCCAATGGTCTGCAGTCAAATATTTAAAAAAAAAGTCTCACCTCTCCAAGGAAGACACAAAGTATCTGTGATCCTCCACTCTGCTTTGAGCAGAACACAACAAAATGCAGGGAAAACAAGTCCAAAGTCAGCTACGCTTTCTGTCACCACCACCATCTGCTTTACATTAGGAAATACTGGGAAATAGCCTAGCACTTCATCCTTTCTTTGTGGTCCAAAGGTAAAATAAGCCTGCTTTCCTAGTGCTCTTTCAGGAGTGGCAAGGGAGAGCAGCCCTTGCTGCCCGAGAAGCGATTTCAGCAGCAATAGGACTTCCTGCATCAATTGATCAAACACTTGATCTGGAATTAATGGGCTTTGTGCAAAACTCTTAAAACAGCTCGTAGAGGAAAGCAGGAAACAACATGCCAGCTCAGAAATACTGCCATTTTGCAAATGGATGCTTTGCTGGTCATTTTGTCCATTATGAGGCTTGGGGCAGCTGCTCTAGGAGGATCCTCAGGTAATACACACGACACTCATACCAAGATGCAGAGAAAACCATGTTCAAAAAGCATCAGTGGGGAAAAGGAAGAATTAGGCTGCAATGCCAACAAACACCCCATCCTACAGGCTCCAGAATACGTCAGTTCAAACAGCAGTCTGTGGTATACCTTCAGCAAGGTCTGACTGTGCCAGAAGTCTAGACAGCAGGTGTTGAGCATGTGTCTAGCTGTTGGACCACGTACCTTCAGCAGCTTGGCCTTCATGGAGGCAGTGATGGAGGTCGGGTTGATGAACTGGAAGGATGGTGCAGCATTATTGGGATACTGGACAGGGAACATCACCAGCATCCTGACCCGGTGGTTGCCACAGTGCACTGACACTGTGCAGCTACGATTCACCGCATCCATCTGTGTGAGGAACAGCAACAGCCTTGCATTCAGATCTCCAAGGACCTTTTAACTTGCGGTGGCTTCAATTCAAACTGAGGGACTGATTCCCCTGCACACCCATAAGACAAAGTCGTGCTGTTGTCACGGGCAATGAACACAGCAACAGCAAAAAAAAACCCAGGGAACAGTTTTCACCAGCAGACTGCCAGTCCAGCAGCATCTGGAGACTCCAGCCAGCCCAGGCTGCAGCAGGAATCAGGCAGCTCCCAACAGCTGCCGCACTCCACCCCCCTGCCCTTGGCCACAGAACACTTCAGGCCCAGTGCAGCAGTAACAGGCATCTACAGCCATACAGGACTCTCAGGAAGGCATCTGAAAATGTGAAAACCACAGTGGTGGGGAAAGATGACAGGCAGCAGCCCCAAGCCTGCTATTCCAGCACTGCACTGGGCCTTCAGTCACCTTCCACACACAGAAGAGGCTCTGCTGTGACAGAGAGATGCCAAAACTGAGGGCCAGAGCGTGGGACAGTGAGGGCTGATCTGACTGAGTTCAGAAACAGTTGAAATGAGATCAGCTGCACGTACTGGAACAAGCCCCTCTGCAGTTTTGGCAGAAGAAAAACACAGTCCAGCCTCCTTGGGGCCAGTGCCAGCACAGTTACTATGCTGAAATACCTCTCGCACTCCCAGTGTTTGCGATTATCCTCCTTTCTACCACCCATGGCCAAAAGGATCTCTACGGCTCAAAATAAACCCACTGCAGCAGGAGAGTTCCCTTCAGAAGGCTCTGACGAGCCAGCTTGCCCATATCCCCTTCTAGCCAAGTGGTGAAAGGAAACTACCTCCACGTTGACATTTCGGATCTGCACGTTGATCAGTGAGAACTCCTGCTGCAGTGTTTGAGGCAGCCCCAGTTGGTCTGTTTTCTTTCCCACCAGGAGGTCGTTCAGGAAGTCTTCCTTTAAGGCTGGCAGAAAAGATGCATTACAGGTGAAGGCAAGTTAGAGTAGAGCTTTGGCATGCAATGCCACGAGGCAGCAAGGAGAACAGGCAGCTTTTTGATATACAAAAGCACGAGTTCTACCTGGCAAGGATCTAAGCTGTCGTTTAGAGGACTTCAGAGCCTTGTTCATAAAACAGAAACAATCTGTCTGCACAATGGTTTCCCAAGAAGGTTAAAGAAGCCACCTGTACTCCATACAGCCTTAAAACGGTCTGGTCTCTACTCACTTGAGACACCTTCTCCTCCCTACACAGCACTGCCAGACATGAACAGATGAACTGGAGTCTCTTGGTCTGGCAGGAAAGAGCTACTGCCAAAGCAGTCTCCAGGAGGAGCTCTGGTCTTGGGATTCACACTCCACCGCTCTTGGCTTTCAGGGAATGCATCCAAAGCAATCTGATGAATAAGGCTTTGGGAGGGAGGAGAGGGTATTTCTGGCCTTAGGAGAGGTTTAATTAATTTGAAGCAGCAGTGTCCATTTAATGTTGTAAAGCATTCTAGCGAACAGTCCTTAAAGACTCATTTAAGTGTTGGATCTAGCTGTCCTCTTCCACTATCAATATTTTTCAGGAGGACAATAACCCCTCAAACACAGAATGTATTTAAAGAGCCAGGCAAGTGCTGCTGAGTAGGAATCATGGTTAAGATAGCCAATTTGACTGAGTTTCAAAAGAATTGGTCACTGCCTGCTGTGCCTGGCTGGCTCTTGCCTTAATTCTTGCTACCCACCTCCATTAGGACAGACGAAGCTCCTGTTCAAGGGGTTTTGCTGTGGCAACCCTTCCTAAGCCGACCAAATATGTCCTCAGAAACATCAAAAGATACAAGGGATGTCCCATTTACTCAGCTGTCATTCTCACCTTGATCTCACACAGACTATTCTTAGGGAGAAAACAGAAAACAAGAAATGCAAAAAAAAAAGGCTATCCTTGTACAGGGGTTTGCCTGAAAGTCACTGTCTTTGCTGCTAGGACAAATATATCTGGCTTTACTGCTGCCCAGCTGGCTGCTGAATTTGGACAGGTAGGATGCTTAGTAATTCCTATCTGTGATTTTATTATAGTGCTTATATATACATCTCACAATAGGGAATTGAAAAAAGGATTAAAGGAAGATCAGTGGCTCTCAGGGAAGATAATCATTTCTAGCTCAAAGACACCACCACAGCTTAACTAAAAAGCCATCCCTGAGGTTCCTAAAATGGGCACTGCCTTCCCTTCGCCTTCTCCCCCTCTTCCCTTCCAATTAGCTTCTAATCTCCAAAAGCCCACATATCTGTCCAGATTCCTAATGATCTTTATAGGCAACAACCAGTGAGAAGAGCTGTACACTGAAGGCACAGCTGGTGTGCTTTCTGATTTATCTGTAGAGCATCATTCTCTTTAAAGATCCCCCACAGAGCTTTACAAACCTAACATGGAGACTTTGCAATGGAAATTAAGCCACTTCCAGGGTCGCTCACATCAGCAGTCCACAATTGCTTGTGGACTGGAAAGAGCTGAAACTCCTACCTAGAGACTTACTTGTGCAGTGATCATGAAGTCATACTATTTGCAGCAACATCTACCCTCCTACAGAAAAGTCATTTTAATGACTTTTATTTCCCTTTTTAATTTTAATTCCCTTTGAAACAAAGGAAGTCTTACCAGACCCACACAGAAACCATGGATGTGACCTTGTCAGGGACATGAAAGACCCTCTCCCTTGGAGAGATCAGGTAGTCAGAATGACATCCCTTCTCTTAATACTCCCAGCTAGAGCAAGAGAGTCTGTGCCTCTTCATACGGGATTACTCATGGTAAGCACAGAGAGCCAGAACATTTGCTATCATATTCTAAAATCCTCATGGAGACAGACGTGCTGGCAACCTTTAGAAACTTGTTCTGTGAGCACCCATGGAGGTTACAAAGGAACTTCACTGGGCTGGAATCCTCCAGCATCAGGAAAAGCTTCCCTAAGGGACCTCAGAGCTGTCTCTATGATTCAGAGGACAGTTATTAGACCATTTCCTCACCCTCTCTTCAGCTTGCTGGCAACCCAGGAGAATCAAACTGCTTTCCTATAAACCTGCCACACAGGCATCCATTGCTGCACCCTGCTTCAGTACAGAAAGGAACTGTGAATTTAAACCCAACCTGACACAGACATGGGAGCACTGAATTCTTCTTCCTCTTCTTCCTTTAGATAATAGAAACCTCTTTAGATGGCTTTTTCATGTGCACATCACCACCTTGGGTCTCAGCTGCTGCAGCCTCTTCTGTTTTATTCTAATCTCTTCAAACACTATTACCCCGAATGTTTAACCTGGCCAGAGCCTTAACCACACAAACCCTGCTCCACATTCCTGCCTTTGTTTGCCTTCTCTTCCATAATGACAAATCAGTGCTCACTGAGAAGCTCTATCTAACTGCCTGGTACTCATGGGATAGAGTTTACAGCCCTCTTCCTCTGCTAGCCTTCAATCACCTGCTCTCAGCACATGGGAAAAAACACAGCAGCTCTCTCCGTAATACTTTGGAAGATGGGAGAAGACACTGCAAATATGTCCATGTTCTTCTCAGATCAGTTCACACAGCGTCTCTAGCAGAAGGATTTAGGTACTAGGCAAGCAGTTTGTGTCAACAGCACTTTATCCATGAGCCTCCCTTTTCCATGGATCTCATTCACCTCTCAGCTTAAACTGAAATGCATTCTTAAGAATCAGAACTGATTTTCTGATTACCTTATTTCTGGCAGAAAGCCACAAAGATGAGCTAAAGGCAATGCTATTAAGTGCTACTAGTGACAAGGAAGAGATTTGTTTTACAACTAAAATGACGTCATTATGCTAGAGGAGAAAGAAAGTTGGTAGAATAATCCTGAGAAAGCCCTTGTGTTTTCTCTCCTCCAAACAGTAATCCAGTAACCTCTGAAACAACACCAGTTTGTGCTCTGCCTACAGTGTTATTTTCTTAGGTTGTGATGCACCTTCTTCCCAACACAAAGAGAGCTGGTATTAGAGTTCCCCAACTCATCACTTGCCTCACCTTCCTCATCCCCATGTCCAGAGCTGTGTTGGGGCTCAGAGTCCTGTGGTTGAAGGGTCTTGTCTGGCTCAGGCAGAAGAGAAATCCCATCGATGAGGTCATCAACTCCATCCAGGATATCATTAGCACACAGCTGGAAAGAACAAGCACACCAACATGCTGCACAACCAAAAACAAGGAAAAGCCACTAAACAACTCATTTCTGGATTTGCAAGGTAAGCCTGCTCACTCCACAGCCACAGACCTTGGCACTGTTGCTTTGACAAGACAGGCTGCTTTTCCTCTTTCTGACATTCTCCCTTTTGTCCCTTCTGAATGCCTTGCTTGCTTACAAAGTCACTTCATTGACATCACCAGGCTAAGTAACAGAGGTTTTACTTTGAACAAAAACACTTTTAGTGTGCTCGTGTGTCCAAGTCACTTAATTTTTACATCAGATGCGACAGCAGCATGCTATCTGCTTTTTTATATTCACACTTCAGAATTTGGAAGCCCAGGTAAATATTACAGGCCCCAGTGCTTTAGGTCCTGTACCAAACCAGAGACCATGACAGCTTAAAACACAGGTTTAGCACAGGAAAACAGGAGATGAGAGAAGAAACACAGGGAGAAGAAAGGATAAGGCTATGATGTAGCAAATCACAATACTGGTCACCTGCAACATGCCATCGGGTGTAGCTTGGTAAAGAACAAGAACAAGTGAGGAGCAGGAGCCAGCAGAGGCTGAGTGAAGTCCAATATAGAGAAACAACCGGTTTAAAGGACAGAAATAAACTACCCACAGGTAAATCAGGTAGGCATGAAGGGTCACTTTTCACAGAGGTTTGTTACAGACCCGCAGAACTCCTGCAGGATGTGTGCTGGGACACGTGCTCAACATATTCATCAGAAACACAGAATAGGAGGTGAACAGCAACGTGACCAGGTTTGCTGATGCCACCAGGTTATTCAGGGTAGTAAGTAGAGGCTGACTACCAATAGGCAGAGAAGGACCTTGCAGGAAAGATGAACAAATATAAAGCAATGCACATAGGCAAAAAAAATGACAAGCTCAAGCTGACTGAGGGAGCAAGACAGAGAGAACAGACTAAGCTGATGTTTTCATGGAATTACACCCAACATTTTAAAAGCAAATGAAATATTAGGAAATCTGTGCTAACAACATTCTGATCCCCATCCCAAAAAACAGAACTGAAAAAGAGCCATGAAATACAGAAGGATGACCAAAAGAGGACGAAGGAAATCAGGATATTTTGACTAGAGACAAAGGAGACAGCTGAGATCTACCAAGAGGTCTGTATGACAGAAATCTACAGTCAAGGTGGCGTAAGATTGCTCGCTCATTTCATCTTCAATGTTAAGAGCAAGTATGTATCAGAAAAAAAAAAAAAAAAAAGCCAAAACTATCAGGTAGCAAAATTAACAAATGAAAGGAGCTGTTTTCCTACACAGCATGCAGAAAAGCCATGAAACTCCTTGCTCACAACGTGTTTATGATGACAAATGTACACAAGTCCAGGAAGTCAGAGCAAATCTATGCAAGTGAAGCCCATCAAGCACTACCAAATACAAAGATGCCAGGCTTGGTAGGCCTCTAAGCTGTAAACTACAGAATGCGAGGGCATTTAGAGAAATATCACTTCATACTTGCTTCATTCTTATATTCTTGCATTCATTCCAAAATAACCACAGTTGAAGATGAGACAAGCAGGGCAATATGGGCCCCCCTGCCTGTATGAACCCTCTGCTCTGGCCCAGCAGAGCTAACCTAGCTTGCTTTAGCACTTTGTAATTGCTGCCACCCAGCAGAACTCTGGAATTCCTCCTGCCTGCACCGGGCCAAGTGTCAATGGAAACAGGAGATGAAGCAGAGGGTGCAATTCCTGCATTTACCTGATACCTAGAATGCCAATAGTCTGGCAGCAACAGAGGTGGCATCTTCAGAGGCAACTGGGCAGTAACTGCTCTTCACCCTCCCCAAAGCCTTGCATGCTTACTGCTACATGACAAAGTGGCTTTACACACACACACACGCCTCAGGACAGGCCTCCCTGGGGATGTTTCTCGTCACATTTGGGCTGGAGCTGAAGGGGGAACTGAAGTAGCAGCCTGTTGCTGTGTCTGCAGCCTGAGGATACCAGAAGAGTGACTGGGAGAGTAATGAAAGGGAGGTGAACCCAGCCTGTAAGAAAACTGCCTACAATTCAGGTGTTTACGTACCCTCTGCAGCTGAGAGTCAACCCGCCACATCCGCAGAGTCTGATCACGGGACCACGTAACCAGCTGGTAGTCTTTAGAACCTAAAAAGGACAGAAACTGATAGGCCCAACCAAAAACTGAGACCGTATCTCTGTGCTGCTTTAAGTGCAAACAGAAGCAAGCAAGCTGGCAGGGAGGTCATGCGGACAAGGCACTATACTGAAAGGCAGAACTCACGAATCCTATGATTCCTATCCTGCTTCGAATTGACCTGGGCCTCCTCCTGCACCACAGCTACCATGCCTCTAAATAGGGTACAATTTACAGATGAAAGCCACAAAATAAATATAATGAATGTGATACAGGTTTTCAAACCAGGAATGAACAAGATTGCCTATAAAGTTTATTGACGCGGAAGAAGTGATTTGAGAAGTACTTGAGAAATTGATTCATTTTTACATTACTGCAAAGTTGAAACAGGTGATGAACTGAAAGGCATTTTAAGATGCAAACAGTTAAAAACATTCCTACGCTGCAGTAGCCTGGCCCTAGGCATCCTTTTCCTTCTGAAAGAGCTGCTGATGCTAAGACAAGTTCAGGTTGTAACCAAATACATCTAGACACATACTACTGAGCAGCAGATAAAGGTACCAGGCTATTTATGTCCATTTGTAGGCCTTGTGATACAGCTTGAATTTCCCTTGTTAAACAGCTGCTGCTGTTTAGGAATTTGCTGCTGCACAACTGCTTTTGACACCCCTCTGTGGAGGCGCAGTGGCTGTCTAAATACAGCACTGCAGACTCTGTGCAAGGAGATTTGTGCTATCTTGAGGCATCTTGGCTGTCTTTGCACTGAAGTGGACTGGGAATGCTCGTATGATGAATGTTCCTTGAGAAAAGCATGACTTCCAGCCTTGGTATGTATACATGAATTCAACTGAGACAGTGCAAGTGTGGTTCAGATATGCTTGAACATTCACACACAAGCTTTCTTAGACTGCATTTCCAGATCCTGTTCTATACTGCTCACATATACAGTTCTATATTGCTTACCTCTTGTTCAAAGAAAAGCAAAAAAAAAAAAAAACAGAGAAAAAGGTGACTTAATTGCATTGCCCCAGCAACCAGCAGCAGAATTGGATTAGAATTCGGGTCTCCTAAATCCAAGTCCAGTGCTCTGTCAGCTTCACCACCAGTAACTGGCAGATGCACAGGCTCCAAGGTCAGAGATTACAGTACTGAACATCCCTGGGAATGAGAGCAGGAGTCCCACAGCAGCCCTGAGAATCAGTGCAGGACTCCCATTCACTCACAGACAGCTACGCAGAGCAGAGACGAAACTGACTCCCAGCTCAACTGTGTGTCAGTAACGCCTCCAATCTGGAGGATCCCACCAGCTCTGTGTGCCTCTACACTGCAAAGCAGTACCATCAAAGCCAGGCATGTTCATTCTGTCGATGGTAGATGATGTTCTGGAATTTCCTATATTTAGCTGCCTACTCTGGAAAATGCAGTCAGGATTGAACTCTGTCAGCAGCCTTCCCATCCCACGCTCTCCCTCTCCTGCCTTTGCCAGCATATGGAAAAGGAGGGAACATTGGTTCTGTGGTCATGCTGGAGGCTGCGACCCAGGCAGCAATGCAAGGGGTTAACTGGTTAGCCTACAGCTCTGAGCAGGGGGAGGGTGCCTGCACTCATACACCCATCTAATAGTTTGCACAATTTATTCTGAAAGATACATTTAAAAATAGACTCACAGGGGAGAGGAAGCAATTAGAGTCACCGCTGACCCACTCAGCATTCGCTGGATTTGCTTTGTTAGCATGGAAACAACAGGGCAATGTTTCTGAGGCCACTGTGATAAAGTGAGTGGAAAACAGCTGTAGCTTGGGGGGGGGGGGGGGGAACAGCAGCAGACAGGGGCAGGAAAGCAAGCTGGAGCTGCTCCAAGGAAAGGCAAGAGTCAGAGGGTGACAACATGAGCATCGCAGCCAGGAGCCATGGAAAGCTGATGGCAGCAGGGCAGGAGAGAGAGCACTGAGCCCAGCCCTGATCTCACCTTCTTTCTGTTTCCTCCACTGAAACTCCAGCACCACATCATCATGTCCCACAAAGGTATGAACAGGTGTGTTCAAGTCAAAGACATTCCAGAGAAGTAGGCTGTTCTCTCGTCGGAGCTGCGGAACCATCACTGTCACCAGCCCATTGCTGAAAGGCTTGAGAAAGAAACACCTTTTGGTTGAGGTACACTGCCCTGCTGTTAGCGTGCTCTGTAATTCTCACCTACTGCCATCATCCATAAGAACATGTTGATTTTAAATGAGCTCTGCACTAAGCAGAACCAGGCCTAAAGCAGAAGTGACAAGGCAACTGCTGTGTAAAACTGGCATCTTAAGAGGGAAAAGATGTAATGTGCTTAGAGTCAACACAGCTCACTTAAGGTTAGCCACTTCTTTCTGCTGCTTCCTCAGTTATCCACTGTGAGGCTGGAGTGGTTTCAGCATCGACTTTTCACATGGGATCCTTACTGCAGTTTACCAATCACTGCAAGAATTGCTTCCAAGGGGGTGAGCCTTGGCAGCTACCCTCAGTCATGACTCTCAGAGGAACACTATAACCCGTTCTTACAGCCCCACGAGGGGATGTGGAAAAGGAACCAAAGCCTCAAGAGACAGTACTGACTTCAGGACATACTCAGATGTCCAGAGAAGAGAACAGGTATGACTAATCTGAAGAACCTTAGCTTCACACAGCTGTGTGTTTGCTCTATCAAAAAGCACTACTTCTTGAATCTGACATGCTGTAAGAGCCCAGTGTGCCACAACTAGAGATCTGGGGAGCAGAGAAAACCCTCAGACAGGGCAAACGTCTGTGCTACGTGTACCAGTGCTGGACATGAGTGAAAAAACAGGACAGCGAGAGCAGCAGCTGCTTTCCAAGCCTCCTGCCCCCAGAGCCAATCACTCACACCTGAGTTTCATCCCCAACAGGATGATGCCAAAGACTGGGATTTCACACTGCCAGTGATTTCTTCTCCTGAATGCCCCCATTGCAGACATCACTTTTCTAGGCCTTGTAAGCACCATAAGGGACTTTAAAATCAATTTAACATCAAGTAGAAGTGGCGAGAAGCACTGCAGCAGTTCTTTATTTAACATGCCTTCATGATTTTGCTCTCACAGCATAAGTGGGGCTGGTGGGTGTTTCTCACTCACTGTGTATCTCGCCTTCCAGACAGGAACCTGGCAGGGAAGGATACTGAGGTACTTCCGAGGCTGACGGTAATCCCAGAACTTTAAAAAGAAAAGAAAACAAAATAAACCAGACAAAACCATCAAGCAGAGGCACAAGTCAGCTGACCATACTTTTAAAGCTGCAGCTTTCCATGCTGTCATTAGATGTAACACAGTGAGAAATATGCCAGGGTGCACACAGCATCATTAGTAACCCCATTCATTAACAACAGAGATGGCCCCAAAGGACAAATACCAAGTGATCAGCATCTGGCAGCAGCTCTTGGAAAACAAGTGATTTGTGGTCATGTCCACAGTGATCGCAGCTTGAGTAATTAGAGCATGGAGACAGGGAGGCTGCTTGGGCTTTCAGAGCCACAAGGTACCCTGAAGGTCTGGACTAACCCATGTGCCAGTCCAGACTGGAGGCAGGCCCACCTTGTTGCTATTGCTAGTTCTGTAATGAAGAATCTAACTTTTTGCTGTGATAGAATACACACCAATTGCATTTGCCTCAGAGCTTAGCTGAACATGAATAAATTCCATTTGGCTGACATACCAAGCACACTATTCCCCTCAAGTAAGGCTCTGCATTGCAATGCTTGCAGACATACTGATAACCCAATTTCACATGAGTTTGAGAACCCCAGGGGCTGGAGCATGGCTCCCACCAAGTTGCTGCAATCAGCTCGAGGCTGGCAACTCCACACTTTGGGAAGAGGCACTGCTGGCAAGCAACAGGCAGAGGCAGCTGTTTTCAGTTTCAAATCACTGCAGCTGTGTTAACTATGGCACATGTGCATCCATCCTGCAATCATTTCTGTGTCTACTTTGTAAGCACACCCTTGGTTCAATACAAACAGGCTGCCAGAGAACAGACATAAGGATCCAGGATCCAGATCTTGCCAATGGCAAGCACTGCCCAGTGCATTACGAGAACAGAATCTGCTCCACCATCCTGATATCTCCCAGGCAAAAGTCCCAGAAGCAATACTTACCCTGACAGAGTTGTCCTGGCTGGAAGTGGCCAGCGTGTACTCATTGTCAGGATGCCAATCCAGACCATGGATTTTAGAGAGATGAGCTGCTAAGTATTCCACTGCAGTGCTGGGTTTCTGGAAGGAGAGACATTTTCTTTCTCAGCAAAGGACTTCCGAAATTTGGCCCAGCTCTTTGGCATAAAAAGCAACACTTGAACAAGGGCAAGAGGTAGAACACCCTCCTGCCAAGAGAAGGTATTAGCTCAGTAAAACAGCTGGAAAGGAAGAAAAAGGGCTGTGAAAGGTGAGGTAAATTCCACAGTCACCAAGTGCAGCCCTGCACCACACTTCAGTAAAACAGTTAAGTACTCTGAGATCAGCAGCAAAGTGTAAATGGGCATAATTAATGATCAGAGGGAAGGAACACCTCTCCTACCAAGGAAAGGTTGAGGAAACTGGTCTTGCTCAGTCTGGAGAAGAGAAGGTTCCAGGGAGACTTCATGGCAGCCTTCCAGTACTTAAAAGGAACTTTAAGCAGGAGGGAGGATAACTTTTTGCATGGGCAGGTAGCAATAGGACTAGAGGGAATGTTTTTAAATTAGAAGAGGGGAGATTTAGGTCAGATGTTATGGGAAGATTCTTTACCCAGCGTCAAGTGAGACACTGACACAAGTTGCCCAGAGAAGCAGTGGATGCTCCATCCCTGAAGGCATTCAAGGCCGAGTTGGATAGGATCCTGGGCCTTGATCTGGTGGGTGGCAACCTGCCCATAGCAGGAGGTTGCAACTGGATGAGCTTTAAGGTCCCTTCAATCAAAACCATTCTATGATTCTATGATAATTTCTGGGGAGGGATGTTATCAACGTTGTCTTCCGTCTTCTAGGTTCCAGACTCATCACCCCACAAAAGAGACTGCAGATAAAGCAGTATTTTTTTCCCCAGTATTTATCAGAAGGAAGTCTGCACATGGAAGGTGGGAGTCTGCACATGCACTTCAACAGACCCTCAACTCACCCTTTTGTCCCATATTCGGACATCCCCATCGTGGCTTGTCGCTAAACAGTTGGCATTCTTCTTGTTCCATTTGACCTGGGAAGCTCCAGCTGCAGCACAAACAAAGCAGGTCAAAACGAGCAATTAAGAAGTGGCACAGCACACTCCTGACCCATTATTAGAGCTGCTCCTAGCACAAGAAAGGCAGTTCAGAGGACAGGTATCCCGGAAGCCAGCAAGAAGCGTGGCATGAAAATGAATAACTCCTGATTTCTCATCTTTGTGTTTGTGCCCTGAAGACACTGAAGCAAGGGTGTTCCAATTGCATGCTTGTTGTACCACAGGCTGCACTGGATTAAGCTCTCCATGCCCATTAGTCCACATGGAGCAACTTCCTCCAGATGAAAACTGCACATGCATTACTCCTCTCCCCAGACCCTTCCACTTTCATTCAAACTACCTCCCAGTTCTCAGAGATGGATTCACCTGGCTCCCAACCACCCTCTGTACAACCAGATGCCACACAGGGCATTAGTGATACTCATCTATTATTAAAGTAAAGATGTGGGAGAAGACTGTAGTTCACCCACACTGGGTGGACCAGAAGGCCAACCTAAGAAACTGTCAAAATACACCACAAATCAAAGACATAAGGTGGTAAAGAAACTGTGAGATGGTCTAGGCATCACGAGGGACTCAGCCAAGGACCTAAAATCAGAAGCTGGCTGGAAATTTCCAATACTAAACTTTGCTCAATGTGGATTATTCAGACATGATAAGAAAAATACATGCTCTGTTCATCCTTTTCTGCCAATATTTTCCAAATATTTTAAGCCATCAGAAAGGTGGGGCCAATGAGAGATCTCACAGCCTGCTGCTATGCCTTCACAACCTACCTCCTGCTGCACAGTGAGCAGATTCATCCTGTCAGTCTGACAAAAAGCTAGTCCAGAGGTAAAGAGTTGCCAAGAAGCTGCCACTTGATTGAGTTGATCCACTCACTGAAGGGTTCACACAAATGTCTGGACTAGCACTAAACAAAATCAGACGTGGGAGGAAGGAGGCTCTCTGGGGAGCTGGGTACTGGGCTTGCTCAGCTGACCTATGAAACCTCACCCCAGGCACCAGAACAGAGTGCAGCCTGTCTCTGATTCAGTATGATTTTTGCTGCTTCTCGCCAATCCAGAAAGGTTTCTGCACTGCTGTGGTCGAGAGGTTTCCCAGCTGGGAGGGATGGGGAGCCACTGCAGATGTGCAGCCAAAGGAGATCTAAGCAGAACACGAGATGCACGTGACGAGGACTGCTGCAGCACCAGGAACAGCAAGTCAGGAAAAGGACAAGTTTTGATTCTCATCTATACCTCGCTCCGCTCCAACAGGCTGCTGGTCAGGATGGACACAGCACTTGCCAGCAGGCAGCATCACAGGTGGCCAGATTGGGCACTGCCAACAGCCATGACAGCTGCCCTTCCAGAGCGACTACAGCTCACAGAAAGCATCTTCACGTCATCGCTGCAGCTCCCAGCACAATGAACGTGCTCCAGTGAAGCACCCAGCCAGGGGCAGGCTGGGCAGCTGGCAGCATACCATACCACTGCCTGGAGCATGGTTTAGGTTCTCAATACAATCAAACATAAAAGGAAAGGAGAAATTGCAGACAAGCAGCACAGAGAAGACAAGCAGTGTGGTTAAGCAGGGTAGAAGCTGATCACATTCAGAAGGTACACGTGCTGTTTGACTGCCCTGCTGAAGGTTCTGGGTGCTTAATTTCAGTCTTTCACTCCAGCTTTTAAACAACCCCAATGAGTTCCTTTTCTCTTCCGTTTCCATGCCAAAAACCCCACAGCTCCAGCAGGCTGGCAGGCAGCAAAGGAATGCAGAAGCTCCTTTCACCCACCCCTAAAAAGCAGCAGCACAAGGAAATTTTTGCACTTCACCCTTATTTCACATCCCTTCTGCATTCTGCTCCCCTAATAGGAGCTGTGAACTCCTCTTGGGCTGCTTCTACATAAGACAATCACCCATGGTGGCATTTCCACTATGTTTGGCCTCAGAGCATGGGAAAAAGGGAGAAATAACAGCAGAGGCACACAACACTGACCTCAGACATCACATATCCACAGCACACTTACCTACTGCAGAGAGCGAGACTGTAGGCTTCCTGGTGTCTCTGAAATACAACACAGATAAGGTGAGGACCCATGGCACAGCCTAGCAAGTCCAGCCTCCCCAGAGAGCTCCTCGCTATTCTAGGATTAATTTTATTGTTGCCTCTTGGAATTTAACGCATCTTAATGCTACTATGCTTACTTAAGTGGTAAATCTAGAACTGAGATATGCCACATTAAATGAAATAAACAAGGAGGTAACCAGCTGAAGGACATCAGCCATTACTGCCAAAAACCACAGCAGCACAGTTAGGCCCTAGGATGGAGATGTGGGAAGAGAAACAAATGAACAGGGTGGCATGCTGCTACTGGGCAGGCAAAGGGAATGCTGGGCTCACTGAGGTGTTGCTGCAGGAGGCAACAAAATAGCCTTTCCTAAAAGGAACAAACAGAACTGCTGAGAAACTCAGCAAAAGCTACTGCTGTGTTTGCCAGGCCCCAACACACCTTGATTGGAGGCAGACAGAGCAAGGACTGCAAAGCAAAGACTTCATGTCCGTGATACAGTAACAAAATTAATAGGAAATAAAGCCAGCTGCACAGACAGATCAATTTCTGCAGTAGCGTAAGCCAGTGCGGCACCATGACAACATGCAGCAGCTGGGACATGAATCTAGGCAATAATTCAACACCTGACATTGCTTATCAGGAAGTTACCTGCCCTTCCATGAAAAATACCACTGGAAACAAGGAAAACTGCCTTCAGCTTGCTAGGCTGCTGTATAGCAGAACGTTGTCTGAAATGAACCGCACCTCTCTCACTCAGAATTTCTGTCTAATCCAAAAGTTTTTTTGGATGAAAAAGTAAAAGGGGAACTTCAGCTACCCTTCCTGCAGGGTTATCTCCCTAGGGCTTCATCAGAGACAGCTGCTTCACCAGGATGTTCCTTTGCTGGAGGCCAGCAGCCCTTGGATCTCACTGCCCCCGGGAAGCTGAGGCATTATTAGCACACGTGGGATGTAGAGGCTAGTCAGAAATCATCTGAGCAGGCATTTTTTGGACAACTGACACAAGCAAAGACAAACTGCTGGAAGGGCACAATGGAGTTAAATCAAGGCTTCCAATACAGCCTTCAGAGACCTTTTTTTTTTTTTTTTTTTTTGCTTGACACTAAGGTATTATGGCAGAAAAAACACAACTGCCAGTTATTGTCTCGCTCTGTCTTTTAATTACACATTAATAATGTATTGCCATTCTCAAGCACCATTTAACCAAGGATGTAAGTGCTTCATAGGAGCTAAACAAGCCTCAGGGTACCCTGGTGCAGTGGGGTTATGTAATTATCCTTCTATTACAACTGTGCAAGGAAGGCAGAGAGGAACAAAGTGACTTGCCAGGGGTCATGAAGTGCTGCTGCATGGCCAGCAAGGCAATCCAGGAGTGCCAATGCCAGCTCCTTGTTTCTTAGGTACAGAAAATGAGGTTTTAACACCGGTGGGTTTGGACAGATCTGTTATTGTGAAGTAACACGTGATAGAAAGCATCAGGAATCCAGGGAAGTCACAAACAATAAAAGGTTCCTGACTACTGCTCCCACCACTGAGGGAGTGTCAGCCACAGCCACTGCATTTAGAGGAAAACAACTCTGGAACCATGAAATGATGCTCATTCATCAAGCTGAAGGGAAAAAAATGTTGAGGAAAATGTCTGGGTTTCAGGAAAAGCTTCCAAGGAAAGATCTGTAGAAGTTAGGGAGAGAAGCCAATTGGTACTGCTGCCAATCAGCAGCATGCCTGTTGCTTAACCATCAGCTACGTGTTTCCCTTCATTGACTCTGAGCTGGCCTTAAAGCAGGGAAACAGAAGCCGTTCTTTGAGACTATGGGAAGTAGATGTAGACCCTGCAAGCATGGCCAAAAGCAGGGCCCCTCAGCATGTGCAAGCTGCAAATCATGGAAGTGAGTCCAATGATTTCCCTGAAGTGCAGAAGCATCTGGATTCTTACTTGATGTCCCAGATGTAGATGTATGTGTCAACAGAACTGGTGACCAGCAGGTCTGGTTCAAACACTGACCAGTCCAAGTCACTGCAAACACAAAGACATCGTAAGTCAACAGAGAAAAAGCATCGTTAGCAGCTGTGTCTTGCAAGCTCCAGTACATTTATTTGACAAACTCACAGCTACTCCATGACTTCTACTCAAAATTTTCAAGTAAAAAGCAAGATCTTAATCATTTCTCTAGGTAAATTCCAAGAAGCACTGAAATGCTTCTAAGTAAATTCCAGTGAAACATCACCCTAGCACTGACTTTACAGCTGTCCTGTGTGCTCTTTCCTCCACAGGAAAAGGCACAGCAGCTTAGTGAACTCCCGCTTATCACACATTCTTGGCACCAACCCTTGGTTCTGGAAGGCTTCCCTGTTGGGCTCACCAGGGATACAAACAGCCTCCAGGCAGCCCAAACAACTGCCTTTTCAATTTGCTGCCATTACATCCTAAAGTCAGGAGCTGGAGTAAGACAATGCCACTAAAGCGTGCCCTTACTACAGGCAGAGATCTCTATCTCTGAAGCACCACTAACTCACTGAGAACTTCATCTTTGGGATTATTTGCTTTAATTCAGCTGCTACCACAGAGAAATGTGGCTGGGATTCAGTTTAATAAGCATGCTGCTGTTTCCCCAGTGATGGCTGTTGCTCATTACAGGGACTGCAGCCTCAGGCAATGACACTGGAGCTATCGAAGGCTGAGCTAATATACTGGGGAGAGCCACTTCACATCTGCCAGCTCCTCCAAATGGGAAAGTAAGATGGGGCAGGAGGGACAATGAATAAAAAGAAGCTCAGAGCAGAGCCCACAGTGTTCACTTGTTCCTCACCTGATCACACGTGTGTGTCCTTGCAAGGATGTGCAAACTTCCCCATTACCTTCCTTCCACTTATACAGGTCAACTCGCTGGTTGCTCTGAAATACAAAGGGAGAAGTGAGACTGTGCCAGGCAAACAAGGTAGGACAGGAATCCACATGTCTTGACCAGGTTCCCTTCCCTTTGAATATCCTGCTAGCAATCATTCCCACTGTGAGTAACAAAGCCCTTGCTTGACCTAAAGCAGAACAAAGATGAACATACAGGCTGCAAGGCCCCTCAAAAGCCTACGCTCTAATTATATCCACTTGAAATTGGAGATAAACAAGAACAGGAGAAAAATCACACTGCAAAACAATTCCACAAACTGATATTCTCAGAACTTTTATTTCTTAACAACAAGCTGTAACTGCAGGCAACAGGCAGGCACACTCTTCCTGCAGGAGCAGCCTGGCAGCCTGTTCCTGCTCACAACCAGTTTTCAGCAAGGGAGATGATGGATCACCACTGGTCCTCCTCAGCTCTCCCTCGATTCCCTTCTGCAACAATCAGGGCCGCTGCCAAATGAGAACAGCACAGTCTGATGGTTTCAGGGTCACCTCCTGAAAGGTACTTCCATTTTGCCAGGTCAGGGAAAACGAAAAGATGTAAGTGCTCACCACTAACTATAAACCACAGGAGGAAGCCTAATCAATCAATGACAGCGTTATTTAGGGTTTCTTTACTTGTCCCAGGAATAAATCCTCCCCCAAACACAGCCAAACCATTGCTTGAAACTAGACATTGTACTTCAAGTTCATGTTCTGCCCAGGCCAGCTCTCACTTTTCTGGGACAGAAATTGCCTTTCTGGGTGCATACAGAGTACCGAGCACAGCGGGTCATGAGCCATGACTGGAAATTCACAAAGAAAAGCCAAATCAGAATATCCCTAGTTGGAAAGGACCCATAAGGACCACCGAGTCCAACTCCTGATTCCACACACAGAACCAAATAACAGGATTTTAACATTTCATCTGTTAGTCCCTCATTTCCAAGTGCACAGGCAGACAGAGGTAAAGATAATACAGAAGAGACAAATCTTACATTTTGTGGCTTTTATTTCCTACCCCAAAGCTGTTTCTCAAGAGTTTGAACTAGCAGACAGATAAAACACTCCAGCCTTCCCTGAAATGGGAGGTCTCCTCCCAGCTCAGCAATAATATAACTGCAGATCTCTAATAGCTCACAGCAGGGCTACAGAGGAGCTTGGGGCAAGGAAAACTGCTTGCATGTTTCTCACTGAAAGAAAGACTGAAAGGGGTAGAGTGAATTTCAGTGGGATTTGTCCAGGACTCCAGAGCTGATGCTACAAGATAAGAACGTCCAGAAGTTTCACAGGCTCTTAGTGGAATACCTCATGTAGGAAGTACTGCCTGTAGCACCAGGCATGGCAGGATGACAGCTCCTCCCACCAGCAGCACTTTCATAAAAGTGCTTTCAAAAAAGTGCTTCTCGTGATAAGAATCAGCATATACTTCCAACAATTTAATCACCCTCCTGTTCAAGCACTTGTGACCACACAAAAGGAGTAACAAGGATCTAGAATGGAAAACAATAGCATTTCTGAAACAATGGCTTAGAGTCCCCAGGAATGAGCCAGAGGGCAGACAGAGCCAAGCACAGCAAGAGGACCTGGTTCGGTTCTTCTGGAAATAAGTCAAAGAATGAGAAGCCCTCACCCACTCACCAGGACAGGTTTCCCCTCTGACTGCACCACCTCCAATCAGCTGCACTGCAGACAGCATGTAGCTTTCCTCAAGCAGGAGGGAAGCCTTCTGCGCTCCCTTTCCACCCACAGTGATGCAGAGGTGCAGCACATGGCACACCTGAGCCAGCTCCATGTGGCAGCCTCAGCAGAGGACTCAGAGAGAACTGAAGGCCAGAAGCAGCACACAGCTGAATGCAAGCTAAGTTAGCCTTCCCAATATCACTTCAGCCCTGTAGGTACAGGCTTATGCAAACACATCCACACCGCCTCCAGGCCTGACCTGGGACACAGACCTGACACCTTCCACTTCTAAACGAGGCAGGCTAAATTCTAGTCCTGGGACAAGGCCAGACTGCATCAGGATCAAAAAGCCAGCTAAGTGCAAGACTGTTAAGGAAGTGATCCTGATCCAAAATGAGAAAGCTGTCTGGTGTTATCTTGGGGGTTTGGTATGCGATGTGCATCTGCTCCCATTCGCAGGAAGGTCCTGCTCATAAGCAATCACTGACTATTGCTCTGACAGGCTGTTTGAAAAGAAGCTTTCCTGCTCTACTCACAACCTGCACAAAGCATTCCTTGTTTGGTTTTGCTTTTCATATGCCATATTCAGAAGCGGCACCAAAGGACACCGCCTGGCAAGGTTTGTTAGCCCTCCACTTAGAAGATGACAGCTGCTGAAGGTGCCTGAAAGATGTCAGTCATATACCACAGCTGGGAGGAGAAAGACTGGGGGCCAGGGAATGTCAGAGGGCAAAGCAAAAAAGGTTGCTAACTTGCACACCGGCCCACTTTAAAGACCTCTTTAATTTCAATAATAGCTAGTCCCAGAAAGAGAAGGAACAAAAATCACCTTCAACTGAGTTTTCACAAAATAACAGAAGAAACCTCCTTACTTTCTTGTTTCAGGACTCATCTATAAAAGCAGAAGCAACTCAGCAAACGCATCTCACCATGACAATAGGCTGCACCCAGCCAGTAGCCATCAGGCCCAGGACTGCAGCAAAGGTTGCTGCTGGCAGCTGAGCATGCTGCGTGAGCAAGCTACATAGCACCACTGATAGACATCAGAGCTAAGACCTGCACTCAAGCCTCAGATGGCCATTAGATGAGCACTGTTTAAACACGGCTTGCACCAGTGCTTCTTCACACCAGCTGATTTATTTCCCCACACGTTTAACAAAAAGCCCTTGCCTTTGGTCCCTAATTGTTACAGTGTTGAGCCAGTATTGACTTGTGCTATTTCCAGACTGCCTGGTGCACCGCAGCCCACCAGGAAGGCAGGGAGGCGAAAACAAAACAGCACAGAGCAAGAAATTCAATAAGCGCACAAATCTCGTAACAGAATGCAGGTTAGAAACAGAACAACCCCTCCCCCTTCCTTCCTTCCTTCCTTCCTTCCAGAACAGGACTATTTGGATGCCTGATTTATCTGGCAAGGTGCTTTATAAAACGCAAGGAAGAAAAACTAGATTCAGCACTTAGTGACCAATCACTGAGAACCAGCAAGCCAAGCACCTCACCTCACTAGCCGTAAATCAGAATTAGACCTTCGTCTTGCTACTGGACTTGCAGAGGCATGCCAACGTCAGCTCCACGCTGCCTTACAAGCATGCAGAATTCCACCCATAGAAAACCGGGGCACGGGATGAGCTCTACTGCTTTTAAAGTGAGTGGACTCACCGAAGCTGCAAAATAGTACGCGTAGCTGTCGTGTGGGTTCCACTGCACTGCCCCGATGTCCCACTTGCTCTGCCGGGAGATCTTCCGATGGCCCTCGGTTGGTGCATCCAGGTTGACTATGTAGAGGAAACGGCGGCTGCAAGGCACAGACACAGACAGGTGGCATGGCACAGGGCTGATCTCAAAAGCCCAAGCTCCCGAGGAGCTTACAGCCAAGCAGAGGAGCTTCACAAACACATGAGAGCACCTTCCTAAGAACGCTACTTTTGATAACTATTCCAAACAGACAACAGTTAGAAAGAAATAAAACAAAAACACTGAAGATCTGTACATGCAACAGGCAGCTCAGACTACAGAAAACTTCAGCAAGCACAGGGAAACGGTGCAAAGGCATACAGATACACTTTGCTGGACTAGAGCAGTAGCAGAGAGGAGGTGGCTGAGGCTGGGTGCACACAGCACTGGCTGCACAGGAGCCAGCTGCACCCTGTGGAGGCTGATCTGAACAAGAGTCAACAGCCCTAACAAGCGTGGCTGAGGGTTTTCACACTGCGATGTCTGGGGGCTTCTGCAGGCAGTACAAGCAGAACCACACACAGCTAGCTCAGCTGCAGCAGTGTATGAACGTGGGTGGACGCACCACTGAGCTGACCTGGTTATATTGCTGACCTGAGCCAACTCTATACGCAGAAGAGAGGTGTCTGCGTGCTGCTGAACCTGTGCTCTGCTTGCTGCTGGACATGGCCAACTCCCCATAAGCTAGGTGAGACGTTCCCTCCACAGTGTGATTCATTTCTCAAACAAGATAAAGCTCCCAGAAATAACTGTGAGCTCGCTACTGGAAGGCCAGTACAAAAACATATGGAACTGTGTATAATTAACCACATCAGCATCACGTGTGTCAGCTGTGTGGTGAGCGTACAGCTGCTCTGAGCACGGAGTTCTCCCAAGAGAAAGAACACAGAGAACACCTCTGTTGCCCTCCCGGAACCAAGTCCCCAGGGCAGGGGAAGAGTGAAGATGTTCCTATGCTCTGAGGCTCCTATGCACCTTTAAAAGAAAGGAGGCAGATCCTGAACAACTACTGGAGAATTCTCAAAAGCAGCTGGTCCTGACAGTGAATAGCAGACAGACTGCCCTCAGCACACTGCCAGCCCAAATAAACTTTAAAGTGGGTGGGTGTGACGAAGAAATATGAAGTTAGGCCCAAACCAACTGCTCAGTTGCTGCTCCTGTGCATGCACAGCATGGACAAAGGGCCAGGGCTCCGCATGGCACAGAGCTTCTATCAGCAGAGCCACAACCAACACAAAACACACGCAGTCCCTTGGTGTCCCCCTTGAATCCCATTGCAAGTCCTACAGCTGATTTATCAAAGGTAGAGAGACATAAGGCAAAGAGACTAGCATGCAGGAATACATTACTGTCACATCAGCTCTGCTAATACCTCATGGATGGAGGCAACAACAGAGAATTACGTAAAGAGAAACGGGAAAGCAGAGGGTAGAAAATAAGCCTGAGAAAACTAAGGCAGGGGGTGTTTGGCTCCTCACAAGCATCACCCTGCACTGAATCCATTAAAGTAACAGGTCAGTGACAGAGAGGAGCTTGGCTCCTCTCACTAAGCGCACTATGGGGGTCTTTGGGGCAAATTTCATCTTAAGCAAATGACAGTATTTATTTCAAACAGAACCCAAACAGTGCTTTCTGACGCTTCACCTCCCACAGAAGATTTGGGAAAGCATACATCAATAAAGCCATAGCAGCATTTGATTTTGTTGTTGCTCATGTCTGTAAACCACGTCCCACTGGAAATGTTCCCCAGAATCCTCTTTGTGAAGCTCCTTGAACAGAATTCGGCTGCCCCTTTCCAAAACAATTTATCAGCCCTTCAGCTGAGGGTCAGCCCGAAGGTTGCTGATTTGGCTTGTGGAAGTGACTGTCACACATTTCCAATGGGGATTGTCACACTCACCCTGAGAGCACTGCATGCTGTCCCAGGCAGTCCACTGACATAGCAGTCGCCTGTTAAAGACAAACAGAGAACAAGACTAAATTACACCTGTCAGGTCGGCTTCTTAGTCAAACACACAGCTTTGGGGAGGAGCTCGGGAAAACCTGCAAGCTTATCTTCAAGGCATAAACTGCTCTAAGAGTCAAAACTGGTATATCTCCGGGGTGGCAGAAGTAACAGCCCTTAAAGGATCACGGATGGGTGACAGGATGCAACAGTTGATGTGGGGATGCAGGACAGACAGAGAAAATATGCTTTTTTAGAGCAAATAGAAGACAAGACGTGGCAAACACCATTTCAGGAACTCATTTCATTCCGACTGCTCTAGCAATCACTGCTGATTGAAAGGCATCAGCAATCTCACATAATCCTTATTAATCAACCTCTGCTCCTGCTCAGGGGCTTTCTCAGTCTCTCTCCTGTCGCAGGGCCAGATTTAATTACATATGTACAGGGAGATAAAAGTGCAGCCATTTGCGTGTGGCTGGTCTCCAAACAAGGGATGGCTGAGAGGCATCAGAATTTACTTGTGTGTAGGAGGCTGAGAGAGAACTTAAGCACCACGAGAAAAAAACAACAACAACAAAACCCAACCACCACAAAACAACTGTTTGAACGCCATCACCCCCCTCTGTTCAGAATGGAACTGGATGATGGAGATGAGCTCGTTTACTTGCCAACAGAATAAAGGAAAATGTGACTTGAAAAGCCGTGCAGCTTGCCCCATAAACACAGATATGCCTTCAAAGCAGTTCTAAGTGTAGTTCTAAGTTCTAAGCTGCCGTTGGTGGCTCTGCCAAGTCCACTGAGCACAGATTCAGCCAGACTTTGGGATGTCCCACAGCTGTGCTTACAAACAGCACTGAAGTCAGGCAATAAGGCAGCCCCGCTCCATTGCGATCACAGCTGCCAGAGGATTAACCATCATAAAACCTGGTTTATCCAACCGTTCTGCAAACTGCCAGCCCAGCACAGGTGGAAGGCTGCATCACTTGCAAGTGCCTCAGCTGAGGGAGAGACAGCTGCACCGTGGGGCTGTTCTTCACTGGAGAGCAGAGCTGTACCTGCACCCCACCAGACAAGTTTCACTACCTCCGTCGCCTTCGTAGGAAGCAAATCTAGTTTTCCAGCAGGGTTTTCCTCATCCTCATTCCTCAGTTTTAACTGAGACTCTAAATGAGCAGGCAGTTTCTAACTCTCTAGATGGTAACCAGGTAATTCCAGCTTCCTAGATTTCCCTTGCGAAACAACAACGTGGGTTATTAAATTTATTTTTAAAAAAATAATCACACAGGACAAGGAAGTTTTCCCAGATGTTGTGTATTTTTCTTGTGATGAATCAGAATGAGGATCACTGAACCCACTACTGGAACAGAGCTCTCTCCCGTCATGAAGTGCCCATCAGCTGCCATATTTCACACAGATTTGGCCATCTTTCCCCAAACTGGAATAACACCAGTCAATTTAAAGTGAATGATGGCTTTGTATACAAGTTTATTTCTCTACTGTTGGCACCAGAATCTCATAAATCCTTACAAATAGTTTTTAATAATGAACGTTGCTAAACTGTTTTTTTCAGGCTCCAAACATCGTAAGACGTAATGACTAATTAGAATGAAGTAAAAACCTTCATGTGTCAGGTTGCTACTATTTGGGTCACAAATAAAATCATTTTATGGCAAGATCTTCCCTACAACATTACAGTCTCTTATCCAAGCAACAGGGGAAAAAAGAAAAATAAGGCAGCTGTCAGACACATTTGATGTGCTTTGCATATTGACATGTCAGACTTCGCAGCACAACTTCCCAGAGAGGGAAAGTTGAAATGGAACAAACCAACCTGAAACTGTTGCTTTATCCTAAAACAAAATTGGACTAGCTAGAATTATAGTTTATGAGTAGCAGCTCTCTGAATAAGCACATCTGAAAACCACCTCTGAGCCCACAGTGCAAGCAGCATCTCAGAATTTCAGAGATGTCACCTGTAGCCAACGCTGGCCCCAAGCTACCCTACCATTTTCAGCAAAAAGTGTTGCTGGTTGGGTGCTGCAGCTTTCACACAACACTCTGGCATGGAAAATAAAGGTCACTTCTTGCAGACATGTCACATCTTTGACTCTTTGGTGTTGTGCCTGTTTCGTGGTAGGGATGTTGGAGACAGCATGGTCACCAGGCAGAGCTCAGGGTCTGTACGGAAGGTAACAGCTGAGGTGTTTCAATTTCTCAAGCTCAGGCTTCAGAGGGGGAAAAAAAAAAAAAAAAAAAAAAAGCTCAAACCCAAATACATAGATAAGTTCATCCTGAAACCAGCAGCTGAGCAGCCCTGGACACTGCAGCTCTCTGGTTTCACATGAGAGCATAGGCAGGTCAGAAAGATCATGCCAGAGTAAACCAAAGTGACCAAAATACCAGCAGTTAGCCTCCCTGCTAATCATAGAATGACCTGGGTTGAAAAGACCCACAGCGCTCATCTGATTCCAACTCCCTGCTGTGTGCAGGTCACCAACCAGCAGCCCAGGCTGCCCAGAGCCACATCCAGCCTGGCCTTGAATGCCTGCAGGGATGGGGCATCCACAGCCTCCTTAGGCAACCTGTGCCAGTGCCTCACTGCCCTCTGGCTAAAAAAATTCCTCCTGATATCCAACCTAAAACTCCCCTGTCTCAGTTTAAAACCATTCCCCCTTGTCCTATCACTAAAGTATGCACCAGCAGCACAGCAAGACTGCAACCAACTGCTGCAGAGGGTTCAAACACCTGTTCTTCCCCACTCCCCTCCCACATGCAAGTCATTATGAACAAGCAACCAAACCATGAGGCATGTATCTCCGAAGCCAGATGTAATCTGAATCCCCTCTTTGAGGGTAAGTACCTTCATATCTCAGCTTCCTGAAAGCAAATCCTCACCAACAGACAGGACAGCTTTACACATTTCATCCAAAAGGAAAACAAAAGCAATGTCAGGCTTTTCGGTGCAGAGCTGACAAGCTCTGTTGGCTTACAGAAGGTAGACTGGGTACAACGTGCAGGATGTAAGGGCCTGGCTGGGAACGGTGAGCACAGAACTGGCACTGATCTGGGACGTGAGTAAGAACAGAAGATGACTGCAGACTGATTGTTTTCTGGGTTTCTTGAGCTCACCCACCAGGCTCAGCTCTGTGAGAGAAAGGGCACTGCCACAACAAAATGCTTTCCCACAGAGCGGTTTCTAAGAGAGCACACAAGCAGAGCCTGAAGGGAGCGCTGCTACAGCCTGCAAACACAAAGCCAGAGCTGGCCTCTCTGCTATTTCAACCCTAACCTGCTATTCCTGCTGACCTCCCTACACCCAGCGACTCTATTGCAGCCAGCAAAGGATCTGCGATGCTCTCAGAGGAGGAACAGGGAGAGGGGTGCAGGAAGTGGGAACGCCTGCAGTAAGGCCCGGAGCAGAGCTAGAAAAAACGGACACGTTCAGAATCAATACTGGCAATAAAGCGCCTCACGGATTAATGCGCTTCCGCACGAACCGAACCGACGACAGACACACCCCAAACCCACGAGGCGGTTCACTATCCCTACAGCCCGGCTCGCAGCCCCGCACTGCGCTCTCAGAGGGGGGCACAGCGAGCAGCCCGTAGCGGGCCCTCCTTAGCAACCCCGCGCCCGCAGCCCTTCGGCCCGGCCCCAGCCGCCAGGCACAGACCGCACGGCACAGCCCTGGGGCCCGGCGGGGCGGGAGCTCGCGCTGCTCCTCAGGGCCCGACCTGGGCGTCGCGGAACTCCACCACCACATTCTCGCTGCTCCAGCGCGCCGCCATCTTAGGCCGCCCCAGCAACGCCCCGACGCCGGCCTCGGCGGGGCGGGAAATGAGGCGGGACCCGCGGGAGGCGCATGCGCGCCGCGCGCGCCCACCCGGCGCGGGAGCCGCTGGGATTTGTAGTCATTCAGCGCCCCTCTCCTCGCGCAGCCCCCGGCCCGGCGCCGCAGGGAGGCGGTCGGGGTTCCGCGCGCACACCGGGACTCGCTCGGCGGCGTGCGCGGGGCCGGCGGGGCGCGGAGCCGCACCGCCCGAAGCGGCCGGGCCTTCTTGCCGCGCGAGGGGGAGGCCGTGCGGGACTTCGCGGCCCCGTGCGGGAGCGACGGTGTCGGCAGCTGCCGCCGCGTCCCCGCGCCGGCCGGCAGCAGCGCAGGGGTTAAGGGCGGCGGGCCGGGGGGGGGGGGGGGGGGGGGGGGGGCGGGAGCATGCGTGCTGCCGGCCTCCATTGTCTCCGGCGCGGCGCCCAGCAGCCAGGCGGCGGCCGGCAGCGAGGCTGGGCCCGGCGCAGCGCGCAGCCCCGCAGCCGCTGAGCCCCGCGGGAGGGGTCCGCCCGCCGCCCCCATGGGCCGCAGCTGATCGCCCGGCACGAGGGAGCCCCCCGCCCTTCTTCTCGGCCCCCCCCGGCTTCGGCGGTCTACGGCGGGCCCGGCGGGGGGAGGATGCCCGGGGCGGGGGTGGGTTTTCGCCCGTAGCTCCCCTCGCCCCCCCACCCCCACCCCCCTCCCCTCCCCATCCCTTCCCCCGCTTCCTTCCGCCGCCTCTCGCCGCCCGGCGCGGCCCCGTTCCCCGCGGGGGGGGCTGCGGCTCGGCTCCCTCCGGCCCCGCGCTGCCCATGGGGGGCAAGCAGAGCACGGCCGCCCGCTCGCGGGGCCCTTTCCCGGGGGTGTCGACGGATGACAGCGCCGTGCCGCCGCCGGGGGGGCCGCCCCCCTTCGGCCATTACCGGGCGGGCGGCGGCGGCGCCATGGGGCTGCGCAGCCGCTCCGTCAGCTCGGTGGCCGGCATGGGCATGGACCCCGCGGCCGCCGGAGCCGTTCCCTTCGGGCTGTACGGCCGCGCGGCGGGGGAGGCCGAGCGGGCCCCGAGCGGCGGAGGACCGGGGACCGACTCCACGTACGCCCATGGCAACGGTTACCAGGAGACGGGAGGCGGTCACCATAGAGACGGGATGCTCTACCTGGGCGCCCGGGCCTCGCTGGCCGATGCGCTGCCCCTGCACATCGCGCCGCGCTGGTTCAGCTCGCACAGCGGTGAGTGCCGGAGCCCCGGCCCCATTCCTGCCAACCCTCGGTTCTTCCCAGTTCCTCCTTTCCCTGATGTCGCTCGGCCCCTTAATGCAGGTTCCCACCTGCCCCGGATCCCCCTGGTTCTGGCTTCCCCCATTTCCTACTAGCCCCAATTTTCTCTGTCTTCCCACAGCCTCGGTTCCCCCCGTTCCCCTGGATCCCTACAGCTCTGGCTTCCACTTATTCTCCACTTCCCCTCTCTCCCTCCATCTGCTGCTTCTCTTCATCCCAGCTTCCCCCATTTTCCCCTAGCCCTATCCCCTGATTTCTCCCAGTTCCCCCCCCTTTCACCAATTCTCCCCAGCTTGCCCCCACCCCAGTTCCCCCTAGCCTTGGCTTCCCCCGCTTCCTGCTAACCCCGGTTTCCTCCTTCTTGCTTCACCCAGCTCTGGTTTCCCCCATTTTCCCCTTTCTCCTTCCCCTGATTTCCCCCAGCTTTCCCCAGTTTCTCCTGGCCCCTTTCCCACGTCTCCCCCCATCTTCTGGTTCCCCAAAGCCTCAGCTGTCTCCATTTTCTCCTGGTCCCCTCCCCTGGTTCTCCCCTTGTCTCCCCTTCCCCACGTTTTCCCCTGGCCCCTTCCCCTCACTCCCCCCAACTCCAGCTTTCTCCCAGTTTCCTTTGAACCTTTTTCCTCACTCTCCCCAGTGCCTGGTTGCCCCCAGCTTCCCCACTTGTGGCCCTTCTGCCCAGTAAAGAACGTGGGAAGGAGAGCTTCCCTGCTTTGCTCAACCCTAAATGATTCCCCCTCTGCTCCTGGGATTGGGGTTGGCACTGTGCGGTTGTGTCAAGGTCAAGGCAGGAATGAGTGGTGGGAGGAGGAGGCTTACTGCAGGGGAGATGTTCTGGCCCTAGGGATGTGCCATCCTCCCAGGACTTGAAGGGGGAAGCAGAGGAGGTTTGTGTGAGGATGCTGGGGCTTGAGCCCTGGGTCTTGAAGACTGGCTAGAGCTCCTCATGCTGCTTTTGGAACTGTGTGCAGGAGTGTCAGGGAGGGACAGCAGTTCTCATGCCTCAGGTACTGGGAAAAGGCACTCCAAAATGAGACGTAGGAATTTTTCTCCTTTTTTTTTTTTCACCTGGTAAAGGGCCAGGGAGAGGCTGGAGCGGGCTTCCTTGTTCCAGCCAGCTGGCAGAGGAGGAACTGCCTGCCTCGTGGGGCTGGGGAGCCAGATGGGTGATCCCACAGGAAACGTGTGAGGCTGAGGGAGGGGTGGGATTGCCCCCCACTCACTCCCAGGGCTTGGACGGTGGTGGGTGTCCCTGTGCCTGGGAAGAGCTGTGTGTGAGCAGGGCTGTGTCACTGACCCAGTTCTGGCTGGGCACAGGGAGCAAGGAGGGAGGTCCTCCCCTCCCTCCTGACTGGAGGGAAGTCATTTCAGGGATGTCTCCTTGCATTTCCTGGAACAGTGTGGGATTTCTCTTCCACCCGGTCTCTTTACTGCCTTTTCATGTGTTCTCGACACATGACGTGGTCTGGGAATTTCATAATATGTCTTGGGACAGTGCCTCATTTTCAGGAAGGCTTGAAGCTGAACTAGTGGATGAGAGCAAACTGCCAAGCAAGGCTCATGGGGCCTGTTTTCCTACATCCATCTTGGGCTTTTTCCCCTTGTCCAGGCTCTGGGGACTGCCTTTCGCAAAGCTGTGCAGAGCAGGATGCCCCAGGCACTGTTGATCCAGAGAAGCTGACAGCAGGGGTCTCAAGCCTTGAGCGCTCCTGCAAACTTTCTGCTTCTGTGACCTTGTTCTGCTGTGCAGCATCCTTTGGGCTTTCTGAGTGAGGAGAGGGGCTCTGCTCCCTCCAGCCAAGCTTTTGGGTGAGCCTGGTGCTCCTGTATGGAGGTTGCACCGCAGGAATGCCTCGTCGCTGAGCTTTGTGTAGAGGTGGTTGCTCACAGCCTGTGACATTTCAGTGGTACTCCTCAAACTACAGTGCCAAGAGGCAAAAAGCTGATGGTAAAAATAAGCCGACTGCAAAATGGAGTGAGCTGTTTGCAGCCCTGATGTGGATTGGTGCAATGATGGAGCCCACCACCCTTGGAGAATCACAGTGCCGGCGGTGGGAGCTGCTGTGAGAGCCGTGGGTCTCTCTGGTGCCTCTTTTGGGGCCCTCTGAGAGTGTTTGAGCTGCACTGAAGTGTGCACAGGTGGCAGTGAGAGCTGTTCGGTCTGTGCCAAAGCCTCTCCTGGTGGTGTCTCTTCCCTTTTGCTAATTATTTGCAAAAGGATGCTTAACAACCGTTTGGAAAACTTGTTGGAGCTTATGAAGCTTCTGTACTCTTCTGCTCAGTGTAAGAGGTTAATCTGGAGACTGTAAAGAGAGGGGAAGGAGGCCAGCTTAGGATAGCAGGAATGCCAGCAAACCTTCCATGATTGCAGCAGGGCAGGCTGGCAGCACGCGCTCCTTCCTTTCTTCCATCGACCTGCTCCACTCCATCAGCCCCAGAAAATGCTTAAGCAGCAGCGTGCTGGTAAATGGAGAGGAGCTTTGATGTTGCTGCGCGTGACTCTCTCTGCTCAGTCCAAAGGATGTCTTGAGGGTGGGGATGAGGAGACCCATGGGCACGGCAGGCTGAAGCAGGAGGATACGTGCCTGGGGAGCGTCAGTGCAGCCCATTGCACAGTGTGGGTCTGGAGGGAGGCTCCTGGCCTCCTGCCTTTGCACAGGGAGGGGGTAGCAGGGCTGCAGACCTGGGTGCTGCCTGTGTCAGCACATGGGGAGGGCTCTCTCTTGGGCTTGTTGTTCCAGCAGTTTGGGGAAAGCACACCCTTTGGATCTCAGCAGGACAATGAGAAGCCTCGGGGGGAGCAAGGGGCTGTTGCTGTGGCACAGTGCCTGCAATAGTGGATGCATGGGTGGGCTTGGCACCTCCTTGTTCTCTTTATCTGTGCTGCTGGGTCTGTGTCCCTCTGTCCCCCTCTCTGTGGAGACTGCACCTCCCTGGGTGTCTACCATTCAAGTGAGCTGCTCCAGTTCGACCTGAAACTGCTCTGGGGTTTCTGCATCTGCGTGGGGTTTTGTGCCTTGCACTGTTATAAGATGACAAAACAGCTTGTGCAACTTTGGAGCTCTCTCTTGGTTCCTGACCACCCTGCCCCTGCAGCTTTGTGATGGTGAGACCTTAGCGAAGCCCACACTGGGAGGAAGAATGCAGAAAAATGAGACGTGTGGCTCAACACCACATGTCTCTTGGGTTATGTGGTTCTCTTAGTATGCTCTTGTTACTCATCTTCATCAGAGGATCTCAGGGAGTTTGCAGAGGCTGTAAGTAGCTTAAAGTTTATCTGGAAATCCCTCTCATCGCCCAAAGCCCTTGAGTGTTGGAAGCTCCAGCAAATCCATATCTCCCTGTCAGCCAGCAAGCCCAGAGAAGTGCCTGGCTCATCCTTCTGTGCAGTGCAATCAGGGCTAGCACACCAACAAAGTAAGCTGTTTGTCCTGGATGCTGGGAGCAAAAAGGGGGTGAGTCTCCTCTGCTCAGTAGGGTGTTGCCTTCCAGCTGCTCTGCATCCTTTGCCAGGCAGGCCTGCAGCTGTGGATCAAAGAGGAAAGAAGCATTGGATCCAGCCCTGGGGAAAGGACTTGCTAGAGGAAGAGCTGAAGATGGATGGATGGATGCCCTGGCAAGTGGCACACCTCTGGTGTGTCCATGCTGATTGTCTCGCCAGTGCTTAACTACCCTAGCTCAGGATCTCTGTACACCAAAAAAGGAAAGCTGTATTCTAACTCGCTCATCAGCAAGCTGCTGGAGGGAGGCCATGCTCAGCTACAGCTTTCCTGCCACCATCTCCTCAAGAAGCGAGCACCGTGCAGGCTGCCCTTCACATCTGCAGAAACCTGCTGTGGCAAACCTGGTTTTGCCAGTGGAAATTTCCAGAGGAGGTGCTCCTCAGACTGTCTTCCTATTGCTTTGGTGCTGCTGTCTGTGTGGGAAGCAGTGCAGGAGCGGTCCCGACAGCCCCCCAGGCCAGCAGTATTCAGCAGGAGAGAGCTGGGGATGGGACAGCTCTGCTGGAGGAAAGAAACCCGGAATACCAGAAGGCAGGAAATTGAGGCATGGCTTTTATGCACGCTAGCAGCCTGGAGATGAAGATAAGTGTGTCAGTGTTGGCGTAGTGCGTGAGCAGCCGGCAGCGGTTGTTATCCCCCAGCTCCACAGCACGAGCCCTGCAGAGTCCCCTGGCTGCTGTGCCTGGGCACTGCTTACCATGCTGCTAGCAGGCTTGGCTGGGCTCATTCCCTCTAACCCTGCGTGTAAATCAGAGCAGGAGAGCTGCTTGCCCTCCCTCTTCTGTGTGTATGCTCCAGAGATGCAGGAGCGATGCTCTCGTGCTCTCAGGCTGACCCACTTCCAGCCAGGATTGTCTTCCTGGCCTGTGACGTAACTTTATCCCATACTCGTTTGTTTTGCTGACATGTTTGTTCCAGCAAACAACTGTAAAGGCTTCTCTTAGTTATTAATGCACTGTTAGGGTTCCCCTCCGTCATCTGCCGATCGATTAACGTGGACATCTTTGGTAGAGGAGTGGGCCTGGGGACTGGCAGCCGGCCAGCAGGGCTTTGAGAATCACGGGAGGATGCTATTAAATGCTGGAAAAAAATTATCTGGGGAGAGGTTGTTTGAATAATAATTAAAAAAAAAAAAAGCAAAAAACGAGCATTTTCCTTTCCAAGGTAATCTGCCGTGTGCCAAATCAGGCGGCACAGCTCATCAGTGAGCTCCCTGTGCCGGGGCACCCACTGCTGCTGGGTGCCTGCAGCATCTCACCCTGCTGCTGCTGAAAGCCCAGGTGAGCTGGAACCCTTGTGGAACGAATGCAACCGGGCGTCCTCCTGATTCTCTCAAAAATAGAAATCTGTGAGAACCGATGAGCGATTCACAGCAGCGAATGTTCCTGCTGCAGGCAGCACCCGAGGAGGCCCTGAGCGCTGCAGAAGCCCCGTGGAGCCGCAGCTGCAGGAAGCTCTGTGCCTGGGGCCTCTCCTCGTGCTGCTGCACAGCGTTTCCGTGGGCAGAGCCCAGCCACCCGTGTTTCCTGCCTGCAGGGAGGGGAGCGTTCCTTTCGCTGCATTTCAGCACTGGGTCAGGAGAACGTTTGAGAGGTTCTGTCGGCTGCTGAGGCTTCAGCAGGGGCTGGGGCTTGGGGCTGGCTCTCTGCTCCTTCCCTTCCTGCCCCTGGTGCTGTTGGGGTGGCTGTGGATTGGGACCAGAGGGGGTGTTCCAGGCTGCTCCCGCAGCTGTGGGCCTCTCGCTCGCAGCGGAGGAGTGAGACCACGTGCTCTGCACGGCGGCCTCGCAGAGGAGCAGTGGAAAGATTGACCCTTCTGCTGATTTTAGCAGGAATTTCCGAGGGCTGAGCTTCCCGTCCAGCTTGCTGAGGCCGTGCTGGTGACAGAGGGGCTGTCCCCTACCAGGCAGAGCAGTGGGACTGGGCCAAGCCCTGCCAAGGCACCACAGCATGAGGAATTGAACCGAAGCGGCTCAGCGCCGTTTCCATCCCTGGCAGGAAGGCCGACGTGACAACAGTGGTATTTTTAGAGGCCCAGCTGCCTGCAAGACACAAGGAGGAACGCAGCAGTGGGGGATTTGTAAAGGCTTCTGCCTGTGCCTCCAGCCTTCCCCTCTCCCTGGGGTCTGGTACCTCCTCCCATGCGATCCCAAGCACTAAGCTGGTAGCAACCGTGTGCCCAGGGTTGGTTTGGATGAGTTTTGGGCCCCATGGGTGGTGGGGAGCAGGGAGCAGCTCTCTGGGGGCTCAGGTTTGATGCCTGGGGGCTGGGAGGCAGCCAGGAAGTCCCATGTGCCCCGTGGCTGTGTGCTTCTGGCAGCTCTGTGGGCTTAAGCCTGGAGAATTGCATTGGAGTCTGATACAGTAGGGCTTTGGGGGTGGGTTTTTGGAGAAGGCTATTGAGGGAAAACCTGCATCTCTTGTGGTGATGGAGTAATTCATTTGGGAGCCTGGCTTTGCTGGTGATGGAGTTGCGTTTTGTTGGAAGTGTTGCAGTGGAATGAGATCCAGCATTCAGACCATCCATTGCAAGTCTCTGTACAGCTGTAGCTGGGGAGGATGAGGGAAGGCTGTCCTTATCTGCGTGGCTTAAATTCCCGTCTGGAGGGAGGTGGAGCTGCCCTTCTGCCTCGGGTGCTGTGGGGAGCATTCTGTGGGGTACAGAAGTGGTGTCCTGGGTGCTGCATGGCAGCTTGAGCCCATCGTTGCCTCCCAAGGTGATGCCTTGCTGGTGGTGCTCACAGGCAGCCCATCTCCTTCACATGTGAAATATTCTGGAGGCAAAAAGCAGTCTCTCAAGCTGGCCTTTGGATGCAGGACTCCTCTGCTTCGCGTTGCTGTTCTGGGGAATGCTAAAATTAGCTGTGTGCTATTCCTTAGGCAGCCTGTTCCCAGCACTGGGGGTGTTCCTGCGGTAGCATAGAGCTGACTGGGAGGCAGGGGGACTGCAGGCTGTGGTTCCAAGCCCACGCTGGAGGGAGCACAGCGTGCGGTGCAGGAGGGAGACACCACCTGTGACATCAGGGCTGATGTTCGGCAGGTCTGACTGCGGCCACAGAAGGGCTTCTGTGTGCACTGCCACCCAGCATCTCTGCTGTGTGCCCCTCCTCCACCCCCCAGGAAGGTGGGATGCTTCCTTCCCACCCTGGCCCTGCCTTTCTGGCTTTCTGCACCTCCCCGTGGCCATGAATCAGGAGGAAGGATGCCTGCGTGGCCCCTAGGAACAAGGCCAGAGTGCTCGGCTCCTTCCTGCCTACGTGCCCCTGCTCACGTGCACCCCATGCTGCCACCCACACCACCATGGCAGTGTGGGCACACAGCACCCCATGTCCTGCGGGGCTGTGCTGGGTGGGCACTGAATCAGAGGCTTCTTTAGCTGCCTATCAGAGCAGTTTTGGCATTCGCTCGTTAGGCAGGAGCTGAACCAAGGGTGCTTTTCAGTTCTTTGGCTGTTCCCGTGTCACTTGGGAAGCTGTGGCTGGAGGCAGCCTGTAGGCCGGAGGCCAGTGGGGTGTCACATCTCCAGTGGGACCCAATAGTTCTCTTGTTTCTCCTGCCTGGCCACATCCTCACCTGATGCAGGGCAGCTCACTTTGATTGAAAATGTGCCTTTGCCCTCCCAGAGCTCTCGGATGATGTGGTGGTGCTTTTGGCACTGTCAGTGTTAACCATGGGGCTCTTTCAGTGCTTTTAGGACCTGCTGGAGGCTTCAGAGGTTCCCAGCTCTGCTCTGCCTGGCTCTCTAAAATTAACCATGTAACCTTCCTAAAAATACTCTGAGGGCACCAGCCCCTGGAGGGCCACGAGTGCTGCTTGCTCATGGTTTCTAGAGCGAGCCATTGGAGGGATGAGGTCACCTGGCAACGCGTGCCTCGCAGCCCTGGAAAGCCCTTGTCTTCCTCAAAGCCTCCTGCAGGATGCCTTGTCCTCAGACCCCATGCTGATGGGGTGCAGGGGGATCCCATGGCAGGGTTGGTGCTGACAGCCCATCCTGCATCATAGGGGCCTCCCCTGAGCCTCCCGGTGGGAGGAATAGCTGAGCCCTTCCCCTGCTCTTTTTTGAGGTGTGTGGGAGGAGGACGGGAAGGGCTGCAGGAGGAGGAGAAGGAGGGAGGGAGGGAGCTGAATTTTCCATGAGCAGCTGCCTAAACGTCATCTCCTGTGTTGCTCGAGCTGGTGGCTCCGGCAGGATGGATTAACGAGGGTTTTGGGGAAAGCAGTAAATAGCACAGCCCTGCACGGGGGCCGGCTCTGAGCCCCAGCATCCATCTCAGCATCTGGAATGCAGGCGGATGCTCCAGCATGGCGACCCACGCAGAAATGTCCCCAATGGCTCCATCCACCTGCTTCCCAAAATGTCACCTGGAAGTGGCATGAAGCCCTTGCCCTGCAGGTCACTGTGTCTGCAGCTTGGCCCCTCGTGATGCCCCTCGCCCACGTTTGGGGCCAGCTGTCCACCTCAGGGACCCCCGAGAGCATCGCCTCTGCCAGCTGCTCTCACCATGCCGAGCATTTGTGCCGACAGCTGGGGTGCAGCGCAGCCCCCCCCCTGCAGCCTCATCGTGCTCCTTGCTCTGCTCCAGGCGGGGGGGATTCATGCCTTTTCATGATGCTTTTTGTGTTGTTTTTCTCCCCATATCATAAAACGTAGAGCTAGGAATGTCCTTGGCCCAGCCCAGTGCTGCTCAGGGGCCTCTCCCTGGGGTTTATGCCCTAAATTTGTGCAGCACCCCGTGTCCTTGCGGTGGGGTCACAGTGGGAGGGCTGCATGCCTCTCTTTGCCCTCCTCGCGTGTCTCAGAGGGTGCTGCTGGATCTGGGGCAGCCGTTGAAAATAGCACATCAAGCATGGAACAAAAAGGGGGGACCGCAGCTTTGCCGGTGCCTGTGCCAGCGCTGGAGAAAATGAGGTCTAACGGGGATGCGGCCCTTCCTGGCAGCTCGCTCCAGTTCAGGAGTCGCTGAGCGGAGCCGCCCGGGGACGTCACGGCTGACAATGGGGCTGGTGCAGGAGGGACGGGGCTGGCGGTGCCCGGTTCAGCCGGGGACGGGAGCGCATCCCACACAGGGAGCGGGCTGGGAGGCTATCTGAGCCCTCACTATAAATACACCAGCATGGTAAACACTCAGGAGAGGAAAAAATGCTATTTAAGCCAATGGGTGCTGCTGCCACGAGGTATGAATTGGTCAGGGGTAAATTTAGGCTGACGATGAGACGGCAGATTGCGATGGGCTCCTGGCTGCGGCCCATCCGGCTCTGGCCTGGGATCCTGTGGGGAAGGGGGTGCAGTCCATGGCTCCCTCTGCCGCTACCGAGTGCTCGAGTGTGAGGCATTCTCTGCCCCTCTGAGCTCCCTCCGTTCCAAGAACCCCAAAACCCCCCAGCCCCATCCGCTCGGTGGCAAACAGGAACTCAGCTTGTCCTCATTTGTGTACGCTCCCTTTCTTTCCTGTACAGGCTTTGCATATATATGAAAAAAGCTCTTAAGCGGCACTGCAGTCAAACCTGATCTGCTTTTAGAAGCCGGGTCCTTATGTTACCCTCGCCATCTCTGCAGGCAGGGATTGCTCGGCATTCTGGTGCAAACCCACGGCGATGGCTGCACGCCTTGGGCTACATCTGCTCAAACTCAGGGCTGAACACGGAGTGCAGGAGCCCCGGGCACCTGCAGCTCTGTTGGGGTTCTGCTCCCAATCACAGCCGTGTTGCTCACAGCAGCGTGTGTGTGCCGTAAGGCAGAGTGCCAATGGGGTGCTGAGCTGGGTCTTTGTGTTAAGAGGTGCCTCTGAGGAGCTGGAAGGATGCAGAACCGTGGTCTTGGTGAGCAGAGAAAGGGGACAGCATTGGAGTGGGCTTAGAGAGGGATGGGGGAGAGGGGTGAGCCACGCTGTCATTGAAACCAGAGCCCAGAGGACCCGGCGGAACTCAGGATGGTGTTGTGGGCCTTGGGGATGTGGAATGGCTGCAGGCGCTTCCTGGGTGGACAGAGCTGGCTGTCGTGGGGGGGAGACACGTCCCCGGGTGCTGCGTGATCCTCGCCCTTTAATGCCTGGGAGCAGCTGGGGCCACGTGTGCTGCACCCTGGCTGGCTCCCCTGCCCTCTGCGCAGGGCTGGGGGACGAGTGGCACGCTGGCTGGGTGGCTGTGCCTGTGCTGGCTCTGCAGAGCACCCAGCGCAGGATGAGCGTGCAGCCGGCAGGCGCAGCGTGGGGGCAGTGGCACCATGCAGGTGGGGGACCCTCCGTGCTCCCTGATATGCGGTTGGGCTCTCCTTCCTCCCTCCTGGCTCAGGAGCTCTTCCCTCTGCTTTCCTTCCAGGTTTCAAGTGCCCCATTTGCTCCAAATCTGTGGCTTCTGACGAGATGGAAATGCACTTTATCATGTGTCTGAGCAAACCTCGCCTCTCCTACAACGGTAAGGGCTTGGGGTGGGCACGGTGTCCTGCCAGCATGGGGACGCCGTGAGCGGGCAGGAGGTGCAGGCTGGGGCTGCAGCGTGCCAAGAGGGCTGCGCTCCAGCTGCTCACCGTGTCCACCGCTTTTCCTTGGGACCCTTCGTAGCACAGCCCTACGCTGCTCACCACAGTGAGCCGTGCCCGGCGGGGCCGTGCCGTCCTGCTATCCTGCCCAGCAGGGGTGAGGGAAGGTGGGCTGAAGCCCAGCTTAGTGGGGAATGTGGGGCTGAGCCTTGCCCCAGGCAGGGACGCAAAGCCCCTGTGTCACCAGTGCTCTCTTCTCCCCTCCAGACGACGTGCTGACCAAGGATGCCGGCGAGTGTGTGATCTGCCTGGAGGAGCTGCTGCAGGGGGACACGATAGCCAGGCTGCCCTGCCTCTGCATTTATCACAAAAGGTACGTGGGCACAGGGAGCCGTGGTGGCCGGGAGGCAGGGGCAGCCCTGCACTCGGCACCGAAGCTGACCCGCTGTCTTCTCTCCAGCTGTATAGATTCCTGGTTTGAAGTGAACAGATCTTGCCCAGAGCATCCTTCTGATTGACCTGCTGGGCGTGCTTGCTGACTTCTCTCTAAGGTGAGCCCACAGAGGGGTGGGGAGCAGGGGGTGAGAAGGGCTGAGCAGGGGTGCGGGTGTGAGCCGGCCGTGGGGCTGCGCTCGCTGTACTGATGTGGCCTCATCTCTCCGCAGGGCACCTTGCTACCTGCTGTACCTCCTCTCCCCGTCCCTCCTGCCCCGCCTGGACTTTTGGGCTGACGTTCAATTCCTCACAGAGGACAAAAACTCAAAAAAAAATACAAAAAACAAAAAACAAAAACCAACCAACCAGAAACTTGAACCCACTCGGGACAACGGCGAATTTTTTTATTTTCTTATTTTTATTTTCCGTCTTTTTTTTTTTTTTTTTAATTTAAACATTAGGAAAAAACCAACCAACCAACCAACTAACCGCAACAGCAAACCTTGGAACATCCGGGAGAGACAGTGTGAGAAGAGCAAAGCGACCCGCTCTCCCTGCAGCCACGAGGAGGGATCCAGCACCGAGGGAGCCGCCGTCCTCGGCCCGACGCTGCCATGATGTTTGGCTTTTGTCCCCGCGCGGAGCGGTGCTGCCGGGGAAGCGGCCAAACGGAGCACGCGGCACTTCTCACCGGCTCGCCTGGCGCCCGCGGGCTCCGCTCGGTTTTTGCACTGACTACACGGGAATTTCCTCCTCTCTCCCGTTCTCCCTTTTGGAGATCTCCAGCCCGGCCCCGGCAGCGTGTGATGGGGACTCTGCCCCACGCCGGGAGCGGGGCTGCCGCTCTGCCCCATAGCGGGGTCTGTCTTTCAAGTGTTTACAATGAGAAAAAAGGAAAAAAAAAAAAGGAACAAAAAAAAAAAAAAAAAGAAACAAAAACAACAACAACAACAAAAAAAGGAGAAAACCGACAAAACCGAGAAAAAAAAAAAATTATTATTAAATGAAGCTTCGTGTTGACTGGCGTGTTCTTCGATTTGAGCTTCCCTGCCCCGGTGATGTTTACAGACTGGTCACTCTTTAACTCAGCTATAACCACTCAGAGACTGGACAGCCGCAGCATCCCCGCCCCCCCGCCGTTGCCAAAACCTCCCTCCCTCCCATCGAACCCTTCGAGGAGGGGACCTGGGGGTCCTCCTTGGGCCCCGCCAGCGGCCGGCAGGTGAGGACCCCCTGTTTTATGGCCGTGCCCCCATCCCCGTCCCCTCCTGGCGCGGCGGGCGCGTTGTTGTTGGTGAGACCTCCCCTGCCGGTGGCCGTGCCCCCGCGGGAAACGTTTCTGTATTTATATATTAAAAAAAAAATGGGGGGGGGGAAACGAGTTCAGAGCTTGGGGGAGCTTCCTTCATTAGTCAAGGTGTTTTGATATGGTATTAAAATAATGTTCAATAAAATATTCACTGTTATTTTATTTCACTGGCGTTCTTGGTGAAGCGGAGGACCTCTGAGGGGGGTACCGGAGCCCCCCCCCCCCCCAGATCCCCAAAAAGCAGGAGGACGGGTGGATGCGCTGTGCCTTGCTGCGGGTCGGGGCGCTCACAGCACCTTGCCGGGGTTCATCAGATGGAGGGGGTCCAGCGCGTCCTTGATGCGCCGCATGGCCGCCAGCCCCACGGCACCCCGCTCCTCGCGCAGCAGCGCCCGCTTGCCCAGCCCCACGCCGTGCTCCCCGGTGCAGGTGCCGCCCGCAGCCAGCGCGCGCCTGGGGACGGGGACACAGCTGTCATTGTGGCGCCATCCCAGGAGCCCCCTGCCCACCCGGTGCTGCAGCCCTACCTGCCCAAGCGCTCGGTGAAGTCGTGCACGCGCTGCGCCTCATCCGGGTCGTCAGCACGGAAGACGAGGATGCAGTGGAAATTCCCATCGCCCACATGTCCCACCATGGGGCCTGTGGGTGACGGGGTGAGCGGGGCTTGGGGCACGGCGCGCAGCAGGCGGTGGTGGCGGTGGTGCTCACCAGTGAGGCCGGAGTCCCACAGGTCCCGCTGGGTCTCCAGCACGACGTCGGGCAGGCGGGAGATGGGCACACAGACGTCGGTGGAGTAGCCCTGGGGGGGCACGGCTGGATGTGGTGCCGGGAACGGGCTCAGGGATGGGGACAAAGAGGGGACACATTGCCAGACCTCACCTGGCAGCCGGGCCGCAGGGCCAGGGCTGCGAACCAGGCGCTGTGCCGTGCAGCCCAGAGCTGCTCACGCTCCTCCGGCGCCTGCGCCCAGGACAGGACAGAGCCACCATGCAGCTGCACCAGCTCCTCTGCGGTGGTGGGAGACAGTGACAGAGTGATCACAGCAGCTGCCAGTCACCATCCTGCACCCAGGACCCCACTGTGTCCCCACCACGGGCAGCCCTCCCCAAGCCCAGTTCCCCCCCTTCCCCATCTCCGTCCCTACCCGCCTGCTGCTGCTGCTCAGCCAGGCCGCGCTGGGAGCCATGCAGCTCCAGGAAGAGCATGGCCACCTCCGGAAGCTCCAGCCGACTGTAGCGGCTGCAGGCGCCCGCCATCACCTCGTCCAGGAGCTCTGCGGGGAGGAGGCAGCTGGGGACGCTGCTGAGGTTGTCCCATTCCCATCCCCAGTCCCTCCCTATCTTCATCCCCATCCCATCTCCACACTCCTTCCCATCCGTGTACTATCCCCATCCCGTTCCTGTCAGTGTAACCATCCTCATCCTACTCCTTTCCCATTTGCATCCTTGCTATCTCCTTGTCCAGCAAATCTCACCTATGTCCCCATCCCTCACCATCTCCCAGTCCCGTGCCTATCCTCAGTGCATAGAATCATAGAATATTTTGTGTATGAAGGAACTTTAAAGGCCCTCTCTGCTCGCACTCCCTGCACTGAGCAGGGACACCCACAGCTCCATCAGCACTCAGTTCCCTGACCTTGGCTGTGTGCAGGGATGGGGCAGCACCAGCTCTGTGTGCAGCCTGTGCCCCACCGCCCTGAGCGCGAACAACTTCTTTCTCAGCTCCAATCTGAATCTCCCCTCTTAGTTAGCAGCCATTTCCCCTTGTCCTATCACAACACTCCCCACTCAAGTCTTTGTCCCCTTCTTTCTTACAACCCCTTTAGATACTGAAAGACCGCTATCAGGTCTCCCCATCCCCATCCCTGTTATCATCCCCCTCCCGTCCCCATCCCATCCCATTCTGTCTCCATCCCACCCCCACCCTCCCAGCAGCACCCACCAATGCGCGCCACAGGCACAGCCGCCTGCAGCACCTGCACGGTGCAGCCCACAGCATCCCGCACGCTGGGGAAGGTGCAGACAGCGGAGAGCACAGCCTCAGGCAGGGGGTGCAGGCGCAGAGTCGCCTGTGTCAGGAAGCCCAGGGTGCCCTCGGATCCCACAAACAGGGAAGTCAGGTCGTAGCCAGCCGCGCTCTTCCTGTGCAGGGAGAGGTAAGCGGGTGCCGGGCACCCCGGCCCGTGGCCCCATTCCATCACCCCATACCTGGCGCTGCGCCCGGGCCCGGCGGTGTGCAGCAGGCTGCCATCCGGCAGCACCACGCGCAGGTTGAGCACATTGGGCCGCATGGTGCCGTAGCGCACGGCGTTGGTGCCCGAGGCACCTGTGGCTGCCATGCCGCACAGCGAGGCGTCCGCCCCGGGGTCTGCGGTAGAGCCGGGGGACCCGATGTGCCCAGGGGTCGGCAGCACCACCAGCGCATGACACCCCTGGGGCCGGGAACACCTGGGACCCCGCCACCCCCACCCTTGGGCACCCCCACCCCATGCCTCTATTGCACCAAGCATTCCCCACAGCACCCAGCTCTGCGGGCACCCCCAGCATCCCTAGCAGCCCAGCCCTGCCAGCACACCTTGTCTCGTGGTATCGCTGGCCCCATGGGCACCTCCATCCACCCCTGTGCTCCCAGCACCCTTGGCCATTTGGGAAACCCCGGTGCTCCCCATCAGCCCCAGCCCTCCCAGTGCTCCCAGCAATACTGGCCCTGTGTGCCCACAATAAACAAAGTCCCCAAGCAGCTCCAGCCATCCCAGCACTCCCAGCGCTTGCAGCACCTTTGGCTACATACGCAACCCCAGTGCTCCTAGTTCTCTATGCGCTCCCAGTTCTTCCCAGCGGCCCCAGCCATCCCACTGCTCCCAGTGCTCCCAGCACCCCTGGCAACATGGACAACCCCAGTTCTTCCAGTCCTCCCAGCACTCCAAGATCTCCCCAGCCATCCCAGTGCTCCCAGCACCCTTGGACCCATGGAATATCCCAATGCTCCTAATATTCCAAGATCTCCCCAACCATCCCACAGCTCCCAGTGCTCTTGTCCCTGTGATATAGCTTCCCAGTGCTCCCAGTACCCTTAGCTACATGGAAAATGCCCATGCACCCAGTATCCCAAGATCTCCCCAGCCACCCCAGTGCTCCCATCACCCTTGACCCTATGGAATATCCCAATGCTCCCAGTATACCAGGTTCTCCCCAGACACCCCAGTACCCCCAGCACCCTTGCCCACACGGGCAACCCCAGTGCTCCAAGTGCTCCAAGTTCTCTGCATCCACCCCCAGCCCTCCCAGTGCTCCCAGCACCACAGTCCCCGTGGGGAAGCTCTGGCATCCCAATGTACCCAGCGCTCCCTGCACCCTCGGCCACGTGGACAACTGCAGCGCCCCAAGTTCTCCCCACATCCCCCGCCATCCCATTGTTCCCAGCATTCCCAATGCTTCCAGCACCCTGGACCCCTCAATCCAGCCCCGAGTGTCACCCCACGCTGCCCAGCACCCCCAGTACCGACGGGGAACCAGAGCCCAGTGCCGCGCAGATGGGCATTGAGAGCCTTGCGGGTGACGCCGGGCTCCACTGCCACCGAGAAGTCCTCGACGCTCAGCTCCGAGATGGCGACCATGCGGCTCAAGTCGAAGCAGACGCCGCCCTGGCACAGCACAGCATGGCACGGGCAGCAGCGGGCGGTGGGGGTGTTGGGGGGGGCTGGGGGCTGCGTACCTGCACGGCGTTGACACCGCCCTCCAGGCCAGTGCCGGTGCCAAAGGGCACCATGGGCACACGGTGCTGGTAGCAGATGGCCACCATCTCCTGTAGCTGCTCCACGTCTCGAGGCCACACCACGGCATCAGGGGGTGCGCACCTGGTGTGGGGCACAGCTCTCATCGCTGGCCCCGAGGTACAGCACGGCCCCACGGCGCTGCCCCCAGCCCCACCTGTGCATGGACTCATCGTGCCCGTGCTGCTGCCGCACCGCCTCCGCCACCGAGATGTTGGGGTCCCCAGCCACGGAGCGCAGAGCCTGCAGCAGGCCAGGGGGCAGCGGGCGCTGTGGGAGGGGGTCTGGTCAGCACGTGGTCAGGATCAGCGTGCGAGGGGACCCCTCGCAGCCCCCATCCCACCCCACCTGGCTGCAGCACCCGCGCTGCCCCACGGCCCCCGCCAGCCGCAGCGTGTGCCGCAAGGCCATGTTGGGCCTGGAGCCGTGCCCGGGGCTGCGCATGGCTCCGTGCTCCCCAGTCCCCTCCCGCCCAGCGTTAAGGTGGCTCCAGGCACTGAACGGAGGCCTGCACGGCGTTATCTGACCGCAGCCACACGGACCTGCTCTGCGTGTTGGGGTCAGAGAGCAGCACACCTCTCCTGGTGGGCCCCACACCATTGCAGCCAGCTGTCCGCACAATAAGCACAGCCCACCGTCTCCTCTCACACAGTTGTCCCTATGCCCAACCTGGTGTTCCCACACCCAGCCGGCAGAAGCCCCACATCCACCCAAGTGTCCCCATAGCTCCGTTGGCATCCCCATGTCCACACACACGTCCTGCTCCTGGCCAGCCGTGCACAGCCCAGGGTTGCAGCAAGGACACAAAGACATGTTAGGGGAGAGGAACTTTATTAGGGGCTTCAGTTGGCTGCCATCACGGAGTCGATCCAATCGCGGAGCGCGGTGACACGCGTGTAGACAGCGGGCACAGAGGTGGAGCAGGTGCTGCTGCCCCACGAGACGATGCCCACCAGCGTCCAGGCGCCGTCCTTCTGGCACACCAGCGGGCCTCCGGAGTCACCCTGCGGGCAGAGGGGTGAGGATGGGGGCACGGGGAGCCGGGGCTTTGGGAGTGCGCTTTGGGGCACGGGGCACCCACCGAGCAGGAGGAGGTTCCGTCGGCCCCGGCGCACACCATCATGTTGTAGATGCGCAAGCCCCAGTACTGCTTGCACTGCGCGTTGGTGAGCAGGGGAAGGGCCGCCTGCTGCAGGATGGCCGGCGTGTCCGCATCTGTCAGCGAGCGGGAGGCATCCATCAGTGCCGGCTCAGCCCGGGGCCGGGGGTAGAGACGGGGAGGGGGCCGTGGCCAGGGTACCGTTGGAGTTGAGGACCCCCCAGCCCGTGGTGACGCAGCTCAGGCCCCCGGGGAAGTCGTCGGTGGCCTCGGGCAGGCAGACGGG